AATTGAACTCAGGACCTCTGGAAGAGCAGCCAGTGCTCTTAAGCGCTGAGCCATCTCTCCAGCTCCATGATATCATTATTTTTAAGTTAATTATTTTAGTGAGATCTCTTTGTCTGTGTGTGCTTCATCACACATAAGTACATCTACGACCAGTCAAAATGCAGACCAATTCCACCTTGTGAATCCCTTGCATTGCCCCTTTAATGATGGTGCTCCCTTATCTACTCATCTCCATTAACCATTAACCAGTGGTACAGTTTTCTTTATGTTAAATTTCACTTTTTCTAAGGTAGCCTATAAACAAAACCATGTTTTCAAAGGACATCTGGATTATTTCCAGTTTTTGGTTACTATGGATGAATATTTGTATATAGTTATTTTTTTTAAAGATTAATTTATGGGGTTTGAATGAAAATGGCCCCATAGGTTCCCAGGGAGTGGCATTATTAGGGACTGTGTCCTTGCTGGAGGAGGTGTGGCCTTATTGGAGGAAGTGTGTCACTGGGGGTGGGCTTTGAGGGCTCAGATGCTCAAGCCAGGCCCAGTGATGCTCTCTCTTCCTGCTGCCTACCATCTGGATGTAGAGCTCTCACTTACCCCTTCAGCACTATCCCTGGCTGCATGCTGCCTTGCTTCTTGCCATTACGATGATGGACTAAACCTCTGAACTGAGAGCCAGCAACAACAAAATGTTTGGAGTCTAGTCACAGCAATAAAAACCCTGAGACAGTTAACTTTTATTTTATATATGTGAATGTTTATCTGCACTTATGTATGTACACCATGTATTTGCCTGATACCCACCGAGGCCACAAGGGGTCATTGGATCCTCTGGAACCAAAGTTACAGCTGGTTGCAAACCTCTATGTGGATGTTTGAAGCTGAACTCAGGTCCTCTGCCAGAGCATTGGGTACTCTTAACTGCTGAGCCACCTCTCTAGCTCATGTGTACTGGTATTGGATGTTAAAGATATATATCTTCTTTCTCTGGGGAAAGCTCTCAGAGTGTTATTACTGTGTGTGGGTGTGTGGGTGTGGGTGATTTGTTTTTTTTTGTTTTTGTTTTTTTTTTTTCATCTGTGGTTTTGTGAGAAACAGCCTGATTCGTTTGGGAGAGTGAACCATACATTTAGATGTGAAGGCAGGACTGTCATTGCTGGCCCAGCACCGACTGTAGCAGCCTGAGGACCTCCCTTGTCAGCCCCCGACTCAGGTAAAGCTGGTGCTCTGACATCACTGAAGAAAGGAATTTCAGAAACGTCCAGTTTGAAGCAGGGTTAGCGTATATTATAAAATGCTTTTAACAATCTTGATTGTGGGATTAACAGAAAGAAAGGCACTCAGGGAGGAGAGTCACGCCTAAGTGGCTGTGTATGTCATTTTGGTTGCTCTGATATTACATCACAAAGGGCTGCCAGGAAGCTTTATCCACCTCTTTTTTAATAAACGAGATTATAGGGTGGCTCTAGAGGTACCTAGATGGAATTATAGTCTGGTAAAATGAAACCAGAAGCTATAGTGATTGCATGAGGGGCTAAGACATACCTTTTTTTAAATGAAAATTGGACTTTCTTGTGAGATTCTTGGAAAACTGCAGGCTTACAGATGGGAAAGGAAACATGCCATATATCTTTAGGCTTTGAGCATGAGTTATTGTTGTTATAAAATTATATATATATATATATATATATAGCAATTCTTGATTCTCAGGGGCAAGAGGCCACAGCCAGACGCCAGACTCCAGAATGAGGGTCTTTTCTTTCATCCCTGGTTCTATAATTTCTCCTACCTTTCTATCTGGTCCCAAACTATCCCACCAAATAATGAACTATTATTTAAAAATTAAAAATTTGAGTGACTTTATAATATTGTAAAGGACAGAACAGAGTTTATAACTGTTTCTCCTAGTGTTGAGCATAGACACCACCAACACAAACCCCCAAACCACAAAAAAAAAAAAAAAAAAAAAAACACACAAAAACAAAAAAACCCAGCAGCAGACGGGGGCCTGAGGGACACAACTGGCTTCTGTTTTGTAAAAATCTTTGAATGACCCAATTGTACTATGGAGGAGGAGTATCTGAATTCTGAAGTCCACTTCTGCAGCCAGAATAAAGCCTCAATCTCAAGTTTGAACTTGCAGTATCCACACATGCTTTTGAGCTGAAATAGATGGTGATGTTCAGTTAGACAATTATGGGATAGAGGTATGGAAAGGCCCTGGGGATTTCTGCAGGAGAACAGCAGAGAGGGCCTGGGCCGGAGAGAGGATTTGGTAGACAGCAGTATGAAAGCGCTATCTCATCTCCTGGCGGAGTGAGGTAGGATGGCCATGTTCTGGATCCCACGTTGCTTGCTTGAACCCCCTCATTTAGTTCCCTCTACGTCCTCAGATTTTCTGCCAAGAATGGCCTTGCTCGAAGGTGGCCGGGCCCTAAGTGACATTGCCCTCAGTACGTATCTATTGTGTACCTGCTATGAGCCAAGCGCTACTTTATGCTCTGTGCACATAGCAGTAAACGAGACAGAGGATAACCTCTCCTACCATCTCTCCAGCTTTTGTGTTCACTGAGGAAGAGAGGGATAAAATACTGACTTTGTAAGGTGGTCGCTAAAACACGCAAGTGGTCAAGGGGATAAGAGTACCAGCACTCGGGTTAAAACTAGTTTGCACAGAAGGCCTCTCTAAGAAGTCAACTATTACAGTCTGAAGACCTTAACTGCCAGCGTGATTTTGTTCAGGGGTGGGGGCTTTTAAGAATGTGCTGGCGTGACAACCCTGGCCCAGGAAGGCACAGATAGTCTAAAGAGTGACACTCCCTTGTTTCTCTTCATTTGCTAGCAGAGTATTGAAACAACAGTTCCCAAGGGATTGGAATTTCCCTGGGAATCTGGTGATGGAGGAAGGGAAAGGCTAAACCCTGGTGCTAGCCAAAACAGGAACTTTTCTCCCAGGAAGGGATTTCCCTCGTTTCTGACAACTTACAAGATCACTTGCAGGAGAGGCTGGAGTCGAGACAGTGATGGTTACTGATGGGCAGGACCACACTCTGACCAGGACAGATTACTTATGCATACTTGTTGACCTCTACTTAAACCTAAACCTCAAGTCAAGACCTGCAAAGACTTGTGGGTCACTGGTTAAAAAAAAAAAAAAATCCTCTTCCCAAGATGACCACATTGAATAAACCCTTACTTGATGGAGAGAGATACAGGGACCTGCCTTTGATACTAAAATCTCTGGTACCATTGGAGCCTTGACTTCCAACATTCTGGCACCGGAACTATGAGAACTATGTTTGTGTTGTTTCAAAGCTGCCCAGCTTGTGACAGAAACCTAAGACATGACATTTGAACAAACCCTGGGAGGAGGGAAGACAGCTAGCTGTCCACGGGAGTGCCTGAAGGTACTCCAGATCGAGCAAGGAGTATACGAAGGGGCACAGGGACACTGACTTTCATCACTATAAAACTAATGATGAGGCCGGAGAGTGTTTCCTCCACAATCATGAAGACCAGGGTTTGGGTCCCGGAAACCAGGCAACAAGCCGGATGTCCCTATAAATAACTGTAACTTCAGCTCTGAGGCAGGTGGAACCAGTAGGATTGCTGAGGTTTGCTGGCTTCTGGCCTAGCCAGGAAAATGAGAGCCCAGTTCCAGGGACAGACCCTGCCTCAAAAGGAGTAAGCGATAGAATACACACCCAGAACTCTCTTTGGGGCCCCATACCTGCATAGACAGTCAAACTCATGTGCACATAAAACCAATCAGTCTTACTATGCAGCCCTGGTTGGCCTCAAACTCAGAGATCTGCCTGACTTTGCTTCCAAAGCACCTACCACCATGCACTAATTCTTTAAAAATTTTTATTCATTTATTTCTATTTCGAGACAGGCTTTCTCTGTTGCAGCTCTGGCTGTCCTGGAACAGCCTGGCCTTGAACTAGCAAAGATCCTCCTGCCTCTGCCTCCTGAGAGCTGGGATCAAAGGTGTGGGTTACTGCCCAGCTCTTCATGCATTATTTTATTATATTTATTAAATTTTCATTATGACTTTTCAAGGTGGGCATTATCACTGGCATTTTGAAGATGCAGAAATAAGGTAAAATATGAATGCCTTGTAAAAATTTCAAATTATTTTCTAAAATAATAAAAGAAAGAAAAAGGAATTGAAAGCCCTTCAGAGAAAACAAATCTAAGTTGTTTTACAATTTTCCCGAATTTTAAAAAATGTTCACAAAAATACAAACAGATAAACAAGAAAGTGGAACCATAGGTCACACACTTCTGAAATTCGCCTGCCTCTCTCTCTCTCTCTCTCTCTCTCCCTCCCTCCCTCCCTCCCTCCCTCCCTCCCTCCCTCCCTCCCTCCCTCCCTCTCTCTCTCTCTCTCTCTCTCTCTCTCTCTCTCTCTCTCTCTCTCCTACATCTTGGTTTGTATAGTTAACTCTTCCTACTCGGTGCGGGGTTTGTTACTGCCAAGTTCAAGACCCGCGTGGGCAATTTAGTATTAGTAAGACTGTGAGAAAACCAAAACCACACGTAAACCAAACCAAACAACAAAAGGTTGGGGTTGCAGCTCAGCAGTAGAACGCTTCTGCTGGACACTTCATCTTCTCCAGTTTTCTCCCTTTTTCAAGAGAAGGGCAGAGGACAAAAGATTCTGCAGTGTCATGCCAATAAGCTGGGGACATCAGTCCCTTCCTATTCTGTGACCATCTGGGACGTCCGCAAGGTCCAGTCCCGTTCTACTTGCACCAAGGCAGCGGTGTCAGCAACTCAGGTGACACTTAAGGGCCAGCAGAAAACTCGGAGGGGCAGGGACATCCGGAACCCCGGTGAAAAAGAGAGAAGGGTGGAAGGGCAGGGCACCGGCGGGGGCGTGGCGCCGGAGGGGGCGTGGCACGCGATTGGTAGGCTGGCCGTGGCGTGACGTACGAGGCGCCCTAGCTCTCCCTAGCTCCGCCCCATCCCTTCAGGCCCCGCCCCTCCGCCCTTAGCTGCTGGGGTCCCTAGCGGCGCGCGCGCGCGCAGAGATGGCGGAGGCGGTGGAACGCACAGACGAGCTGGTCCGGGAGTACTTGCTCTTCCGCGGTTTCACGCACACGCTGCGGCAGCTGGATGCGGAGATCAAGGCGGACAAAGAGAAGGGGTTTAGGGTGAGGGGCCGGCAGGGGCGGCGGAGACGGATAGGTAGGGGAGCGGGCCTCCTGGTCCGGCGCTGCCCTCCGGGGCGAGGGCGGCGCTGTCACTGTGTGGTGGGGGACTGCAGACATCTCGAGTCTGGCCCTTGTTGACTGAGGAGGAACTGAGGCCAGGAGATGGTTGCGACTTGCCTGAAGTTGCTCAGTGTGAGTCAGGAGCACCGGGGCTCAGGTCTCTGATTCCTGCTCCATTCCAGCCTCTCTGCAGGTGCTGCTGGCCAGTGGTTGGCCGGCGTGGCTACGGCGCTTTAAGAGCCAAGGTTGAGTACAAGGCTGAGTTCTGGCAGAAGAAATACTCATATTGGCTCTCTATGGTAGCGGAAGCGAAGGGGGCTGCAGCCCGGAACGCTGACTGGGTTCAGGTCTCTGGGGGATTATCAGGGGGTCCCTGGCAATTTTTATTCTGCTGTTCAGGAAGACCTCCCTGCGCGTTTTAAAACGCAAACTTCTGGGATACTGTTTTCCGTTGAGAAGTGCTTGGGAGTTCTTTGCTTATGATGTGTATGTTTGTAGGTACTGAGTTAAGTTGGTCCTGGCCAGGTGGATTGAGGGAGGTGGTGGGCTGGGAGCCGGATCATAGGAAGGGAGTAAGGCTATTGGTTCCTGCCATGGAAAAAGCATCTCCCTGCCTCACACAGCAGTTTTCTGATCTACTTGTAAAACAGAGGAGTTTTCAGATTGGTCTACTCTGGTGTGACTGATTGTCTTTGGCTGAAGGGAGCAGCCAGCCACCTAGGCTTGGGTGAGAGACTCTAATGACCTACAGGAGGCAGTAACCATGGTGTTCCTTGGAACCTTGGAATTTTGTTTTCACTCTTATTTATTTTTTACAATGTGAGGCAGGCAAGACTGAAGTTGAATTGGCATTGCCAAGTTTGCCAAAGAGACCCAACACTTGCAGCTGAAGCTGTTGCTTACTTGGAATTTCTGAGCTTACTAGAGGGTCAGTCCACATATAATAATATCAGAAAATAATTTGAAGGCAGTTATGTTAACATATCTTGGAAATTTTATAGATTGCCAACCGATGTATATGTGGTTTTTTTTTTTTTTTGGTTTGGTTTTTGCCTTTTTTTTTTTTTTTTTTTTCTAGGCAGGGTTTCTCTGTGTAGCTCTAGCTGTCCTGGAACTCGCTCTGTAGACCAGGTTGGCCTTAAACTCACAGAGATCCCCCTGCCTCTGCCTCTGGCCCTCAGGTGTCCCACCACTGCCCAGCTTGATGTGTATGTGTATGTTTTTACCTCTGTGAGCCACAGGAAGATTACAACATTTGTATTATCAGTAGTGAGTTGGGAATTTCCTGTCTTTGGCCACCTCCAATGATGCCGTCTCTCACCAGGTGGACAAGATTGTGGACCAGTTGCAACAGTTGATGCAGGTATATGACTTGGCTGCCCTTCGGGATTACTGGAGCTACCTGGAGCGCAGGCTCTTCAGCCGCTTGGAGGATATATATCGACCCACCATCAGCAAACTGAAAACCAGCCTGTTCCGCTTTTATCTTGTCTACACAATCCAGGTTCTCCTTGCTTTTGACTGTTTCCCTGTCCCCTGTGCCTCATTATCTGTAGATTATCTGATTTTTTCCCCCAGTTCTATGTCTCATTGGTTTTAAGCATGTAAACTTGTGGAGCATTTTAAAGAATAGAAACTTTGAATAATAAAAAAGATGTAGCTGTAGCTGGGTAGTGCTGGCACATACATTTAGTTCCAGCACTTGGGTGGATCTCTGAGTTTGAGGCCAGCCTGGTCTATAGAATGAGTTCCAGGACAGCCAGGGCTGTACAGAGAAACCCTGTCTCAAAACCAAACCAAAACAACATAGCTGATTTGGGGAACTAATTTAGGTTGTTTGAACATCATCCAGGGGCTAGTTTTCAGGGTGGCATTTGTCATTAGGACCTCAGTTTATTTTTGAAACTGGGTCTCCTGGGTCCCAGGGTGGCCTCAAGGTAATTGAGGATAGCTTTGAACTTCTGATCTTTCTGCCTTTATATTTCAAGGGCTAGGTGTACAGGTGTGCCACCATGCCTGGTACTATTTTGTGCCAGGAATTGAATGCAAGGCTCTGTGCAGAGTGAGTTATATCCCTAGCCTCAGAACTTCAGAGTAAACCAGCTTTGGCATGAGAAAAGGGTGGTGATTTCCTTCTTATTGTGGAGTTTATAGATCGAGTTTTGTCGATGGCTTGACAGGAGATATTGAAAGGCTGTCTGCTTGGCTGTCCTGTGGACTTGTCTCCTTCCCCTCCCTTGCAACCTTCTCTGTATCTTGGCAGACAAACAGAAATGACAAGGCACAGGAATTCTTTGCAAAGCAGGCCGCGGAGCTCCAGAACCAGGCTGAATGGAAGGATTGGTTCGTACTGCCCTTCTTGCCATCCCCGGACACCAACCCCACCTTCGCCACCTACTTTTCTCGACAGTGGGCCGACACTTTCATTGTCTCTCTGCACAACTTCCTGAGCGTCCTCTTCCAATGCATGCATATCCTTCCTGCTACCTGAGGCTGTTCCCCAGTCTGAGGTACCCAGACACCGTGATGATGCAGCCACTATCGTTCACAAAACACCCAGAGATCACTGCCGTGGGCCTTGTGAGGGGCTGGACAAAGTGCGGTAATTTTTGTCAAGAGTCCAGGGAGTTAGATCTTAGTTCTTCAGCTGAGCTGTCATGGAATGCACAGGCATGGAAGTTGGCAGTTTCTGGATACTGGTACCTGGCTCGGTCCATCAGCTCAAGGGCTAGGAGCAGCCAGCCTTTCTCTCCGTGGCATCTGTTTTGGGGGGGGGAGTGGGTGGGCGGGTGGATGGGTGTCACTTAACCTTTGCTGGGTTTTGGTGGCAGATCAAAACATTTCTTGGGCTGGAGCTTTCTGCCCGAGTTTGTGTTTGGTTTACTTTCTGGGACAGTGACCTCAATGTGCCTCAACTTGCCGGGGTATAGAGTAGCTTTCAGAATATGTATTTGGGTATTTGAAAGAGAGTGGGAGGGACAGACGGAGCCATGTAACTCACACCCTACAACTATTGTTGAAGGCCTAAGATCTGATTCAAGAACAAGTCTCATTGTTCATGCTTTCTAGGCTGAAAATCTATGAGAGAAGGGAGTCTCATTTGAAATGGGACTGCCTGGTAAGGCACTGATAATTTGGGTGTGGTCGAGATCAACCCGCTGAAGCTAGCTGTGTTGACCTCCGGGAAGGACATTTTCTGATGGATGTTCCTGCCTTTGCTTTCCCTCTTCCTGCTGTGGATAAGTGTGAATCAGCCTTTACCAGATCTGCCTTTCTCTTCTCCTTCCTGTTCCTCATGAGGACTTTCCAAAGAACTTAGCATAGCCACACGGGCCCTCCAGGGCAACTGGAACCTGTTGCTCATTATCTTTTCAGTGCAAAACAGATGGTGACCCTGAAAAGTAGGGCATGCACATTGGGACTACAGTTTGCTTTCCTAAGACAGGCTCTACCTGCTCTCTTATTCCAGTAGAACTCTGGGCAGCAGCTGAGAAGGACCAGTACCCTGAGCTAGAGTGTGGGTATTCATGGGCTGTGTGTGGCTGTGTGCTTTGCAGAATGGGTTTCTCATCTAAATTTCTGCCAGGGAGAGAGAGATACAGTCTGGAGAAGTGGCTGACCCTGCTTCCAACTTTGCTTTTAGCTGAGTTCTTGGCATTGACCTTGCTAACGCTGAGACTGTGACGTCTGCTGAATGCTAGCTCTTTACTACTGGTGTTGGGGGAAAAGGCCTGAGTTTGGATGATGTCTTATGCAAGGGCTGGCCAGGCAGTGTGTCATGTGTCTCTGAGTTCAGCAGAGTCAGATGGTCTGGAGTAGCAGGCCCAGAAACTGGAAGAGACTCTTCCCTTTCCACAATGCCCATTCTGTCCTCTGTTCCCTGTGGCTCACTGGGAAGGACTTTGAGATCTTTCTGGGCAGACTTATTCTTTAACTTTGTGCACCGGTCCCTGTGATCCTGAACTTCGATGCAGAGTGCCAGAGGACCAACCAGATTCAAGAAGAAAACGAAGTTCTGCGTCAGAAGGTTTGTTCTGAGCCAGCTGGGAAGCTGGGAGGCGCTTCTGCTTTTGGGTAGCGGTGGAGAGCTGGTTAAATATGGAAAAGGTGAACAGTTCCCAGATGAGTCACCAAGCTTGGGGACCTGGGGCTATGCCAGCCCTGATCACCAGGGTTGAGAGTAATGCTTGAAATCAGGTGTGCTATATGAGCAGCATGGCAATAAGAACAAACTTGTAAAAAGAAAAAGACAGTTTGCATTTTGGAATTCTGCACACCTTGGCTCTTTTCATCTCTGTTCCTTTTAAATTGTGTGTGTGTGTGTGTGTGTGTGTGTGTGTGTGTGTGTGTGTGTGTGTGTGTGTGGTATGTGGGTGTGGGTGCTCATGCAGGCCAGATCCCTTGGAAGTTGGAGTTACAAACCTGTGATCCATCTGGCGTGGGTACTCAGGTCAGCTCACTCTTAACGGCTGAGCCATCTCTCCAGCCCCCATCTGTGAATTACCTCTCCAGTCTTTACCCTTATGTAACTAACTACACATGTACTGTTTATAGCCCACACAAAATTGTTCTGATTCAGCTACACACTTGATAAAAGACTAGGTCCCAGACTCCTGTGTTGGCCTTTACATTTTGCCCAGGGAGTCTCCCCGTCTTGAAATGAAGATCATATTTCTGGAGACAGGAAGCTTATAATTTATTTGGAGGTTTAGGATTCTTGGATGCTGCATTGCTGTCTCCAGGCAAGGGCTAAAGTTGCTGTAATACCATAGTGTATTAAAAAAATGTTTTTCTCTGCAAGTTTCAAAGACCCATTTTGCAGATTCCAAACACTGGGAGGAAATCCTGCAGTGAATTCAGGAAGAAACGAGTCAGGTGATAAGGGGAAGTAAATCAAATGATAAAAAAAAAAAAAAAAAGAAAGAAAACCACAGTGGTTTTGGACGTCTGAGGGTGATTGGCTTTCTCAGCCCCCAGAAGTCCATGATCAGCCATGACTCTTTGCTCTTCCCACTCTTTGATGAGCAGAAGTGCTCCTGACAGCTGGGTTTGGATGTGGCATGTCTCGGAAGCTGCTCAGGAGAGGGAAGGTCACTGGCTAACTGACCTGCTCCCCTCTGCAGCTTTTTGCATTGCAAGCTGAAATCCACCGGCTAAAGAAGGAAGAGCAACAGCAGGAGGAGGGACAGGCCGTGGTGCAACACAGACTGCCCCCCTACGTCTCCAGCATGGACCGCCTTGGGGACTCAGAGCTGTGAGTGTGCTTGAGGGTTTAGGGTCGGAGCGGGGGGGGGGGGGGTACTGCTGCCTCTGCTCTCCTGCCCTCTGATCTTTCTGTGGTCTGAGCTTCATGCTGACTTCCTCACTGGCGGGCCCCCTGTGTCTGCTGAGGGAGAATCGCCAGAGAGGCCTCTGGCACACCCAGTTCCGAGTTGTGTAAGTAAAGTCCCTGCTCCCTGACGTTCTCCTGGGATGGGGACCTGCACAGCTGGGTCAGGGTCCACGATGGTGGGTGGAGTCCAGCGAAGATGCTTCAGAGGATGGAAGGACTTGGTTACCGCCGGTGGGGACGTTCCTCAGGAGAAGCTGCTGAGGGTGTAAAGAGGTCGGCAGTAAGGGAGAGAAGTTAGCGCGGCCTTAAAAAAACAAAAAGCAATAGTTAAAGTCTGAGGTGATGGAAGAGAGGCGGTAGCTCTGGAAGTCAAGTGCCGCCGGTCAGAGATGTAATGAGAAGGTTTTTATTAGCTGCATGGAGAAAGTAGAAGGAGACATACAGAGTTCTAGTTAGTGGCATAGTAAATGGCAATCAAACGTAATGAGCTCCCCTACATTCCGTGCTAAGTCTTTGCTTCCCATTGTGCCTCTCGCCAGCTCATCCCTATTGGAAATAACACAGTCATGTGCTCAGTAGCATGTGTGGCCAGCAAGCAGCCATCGGACAAGGTACCCCGAGCTTTCCTGGGGCTCTCTAAGAGCCAGACGAACTTCTGGTTCTTTGTTCAGGAGATGATGCCACCTTCGAGTCCAGGCCTTAGGACCTAGCCAAGGCCCTGGTCTCTAACCTTGGCCAGGAGCTCTGTGTTCTTCCTCACTCCCCTCCAGCCCCTAATGCTGTGGTATGTTCACTTGGCCAGAGCCATGGTGTGCAGCCAGAGGACTGCCTCCCTTTCCCAGTCACCTCGAGTGGGCTTCCTGTCCTCGCTGCTGCCTCAGAGTAAGAAGAGCCCTTCAAGGTTGTCACCTGCCCAAGGCCCCCCTCAGGCTCAGAGCTCAGCCAAGAAAGACTCCCTCAGCGGTCAGGTAAGTGTGGGCCCTGCCTTTGTAGTGCTTGCCAGCATACGTCCGTAGTCCATTCTCAGGCCTTCGTCCTTGCCACACAGGGACTTACGGGTCCTTTTCAGGGCAAATTTCCGGATGTGCTATGAGCTCCCAAATTCATTTCTCATTTCCTTACTTTCCCCCTTCCCTGCATTTTCCTCCCGCTGACCTTTTAGACCAGGGATATCTTTGCAGGACAAGAGCAGAATTAAAACTGTGGATGAGGAATTGAAGGGAAAACGCCAGAAAACCCACCTAATGAACCCCTTTCCGGTCTCACCCCTGGCCGGCAGTGCAGGGCGTGATTCAGAGATGGAGGGCAGCGTGTGTGTAGATATGCCAGCAGTGGGTTGTTGAGTCCCAGGCCCCTGCTCTCGGCCTCCTAGTCCCAAGTAGCCATGTCCAGCAGCTTCCCTGCCCCTGTGCGACAGCTCTCATTCCGTTCTCCATTAGTGAAGTGGTAGGTGACAGCAGGAAGTAGATTTGGAAGGGTCCTTCCCTTTGCTCGGGTGTGCCGTGAACTCATAGGGGGTTTTGAGTGTTTAGGTAACTCAAGTGTGAAGTCTCACAGTTAGGGAATTTTGAATCCTGAGTGACAGAAACAAGTGTCTGGCCAAACAGTAAATCAAAGAGCTATCCTTGAGTCTTTCACTTAAATGGTGGTATTTGCTGATTCTGCAAAGGGCTTCCGCCATCCTTCACTGTAATGCTATATGGTAAGACGCCTTTGCTGCCCACTTATGTTCAGAGCAGCCAAGAGTCCCACTGAGGGGCTTTCCTGGCAGAGTCTCTTTGAGTTCAGAGTTTACTGCCTTTGGAAATGCCCTGTGGGGATGTGACTTAGTAGAACGCCTGTGTAGCATGCTTGAGAGATGTCTGCAAGTTTATTTTAGACCTCGGTTTGTCTTAACTTTTTATGTGTTTTTGCTAGTTACTGAGAGGGCAAATTGACACAGTATGCCTTCCTCCTCCACCTCCCTGGGCTTGAGTTGTAAATGATGGAGCAGTTTAGGAGTCTGCTTGTGCCCAGCGTGCTAGGAGTCTGCACCAGATGACCACAGGGCTGTGTATGAGGTAATAATATTGAGCTGACACTGTGTGGGACTCTGGTGGAGAGGCAGCATGGGCTCTGGACTCAGGTAACTTGCTTTTTACTTCTGGCTGGTTGTTTAAACTCTCCCAGTTTGCTCGGGACAGTTAGCAGTGCTGACTCCTTAGGGGAGGAGCCACCTCTGGTACCCACAGTGCCCAGCTGATGCTAAACAGTAAATTTTGGTAGGAGCTGGGCTCCTGCAGGTCCTTGGAATCAGCTCTGAGATCTCAAGGACTGTCTTGAGTGCTGTGTGACAGTGACAGTCGCCTTGGCACCCCTGAGGGTGGAGACAGTCACGAAGCAACCAGGCGAGCAGGGCCATCTCTGCAATTGCTTTTCTGAAAGTTCCCGTCTTTCAGGCTGGACTTTGTGCAGCCACACATGCTTTCTCCTTGGTGGATGCTGGGTGGAGTGCTGAGTCTCTCCAAGTCCAGCTTCACTAGGGTTGAAAGCAAACACTGACCCTGCTTTGGATGAGCCTGTGGCCATGGTTTTGGTAAGTTCAGGAATTACAGTCACATAGTAAGTTTGAATGGCATGGTGTAGTTTTTTTTTTTTGGGGCATAGTTAACAGCCATAGGAGAGGGTAAGAATGTGCAGTTTGTAGGGAAGCGTTTGCTAGCTTGCCTCTAAAACACAGTCGAACCGAAGTTTGGTCTCTGTGTTCACAGTGCACTTTCCAGATCCTTCATGGAGGTCACAGCTGTCTACAGTCTGAAAAAAAAAAAAATTGACCAAGTCATTTTCTTTCTATTCTTCTTCTTCTAATTTTTGTATGTATAAGGCTCTTTGTAGTGCATGGGCACAGGAGTGCGTGTGGGTATGTGTGTGTGTATTGAGACAGAGATTAACATCGAGTCTTTTCTCTGTCGCTGCTATTTTTTTGGGCAGTGTCTTACTGAGCCTGGAGGTCACCATGGAGTGAGGGAACCAACCTTAGCGTCTCAGGCTCGCATGGCAGGCACTCTACCCACTGAGCCATCTCCCAGTGTCCTCATTTGTCCTTTTCAATTGGGGGTAGGTTATTTAGGCTCAGCCCGGGCGTCAATTCTAAAAACAACTGGTAGATGTGAGGTTCAAGGGAAGGACAGGGTTTTCAGGGTCATTGCTCAGCTCTGGGCTTCTCAGCTGGGCTTCTCAGCTGGGCATTTGCTTGCCGTGGCCCTTAGCACAAGCCTCTTAACTCACCTTTGATGACCTTAGCTTGTCCCCAGGCTACTTGTTTAGAGCAGCCCTTCCCTTTCCCTGCCCAGCTTCTCTGTCCGCCCCGTTCTGTTTACTCCGGTTGCCATGACTTGATGGCCTTCACATATGGGACTCCTTCCTGGGGACTGGGGTGGGCTTTCTAATGTCTCAGTCCTTGTCACCACTGGTGTTCAGAGTGTTGTAGATTCATTTCTCTGTCACCACGTCAAATGCGGTGTGTGGTGGGGGGTGGGGCCACTTCCTGCTGCAGGACTCGCTGAATGAGCTTGCTTGGCCAGAACATGTTAAACTCAAGTCTTTTCACACCAAGGCCAGCCATCCCAGAATTCTCTCTCTTTTTTTTTTGTTGGCATTAAGGGATGAGCACACAGAAAACATAAGCAGTTAGACTTTCCTACTTTAAATATCATTTACATACAGTGTTGTACATTTTGTTCACAGCATTTTGCCTGCTTGTGATAGGCCATTGAAATTATGATCACTCTTACTGAAATGGTCATAAAGTTATTGTTATTGTTGCGGTTATTATTATTAGTGAGATGGAGTCCCACACTGTAGCTCAGGCTGGCCCCAAACTTGGTCAGTCCCTCTGCCTCAGCCTTCTAAATGCTTCGATTACGGGGCAGAGCCATGACATCTGGGTTCATACCATTGTGAACACACTCTCTAGGCTTTCAGTGGAAATCTGGGGTCAGAATTGGGAGTGAGGGGGTCACTGAAAAATCCCAAAGTCTTTTGGGCTTTGTAACTGTGAGAGCCAGCCGTTGCCAGTGACAGGGATAGCAGGCAGGCTGGGAATCTTCTCTGCTACACTTTTCCCTGGAGGAATAATTCTGGGCCTTTCACACCCATCTAGTGAGCCATAGAGTGGCAGGTGGGGGCTATCTGAGTGTGGAGATAGCCCTTACGTGGCTGTCTTGTAAAGAAAGAAAACACCCACAACCTTTGCAAATTGCCTTTTCCCTGATGAGACCCCAATGGTGGACAGCTGACCTGGGCCTGTGTCCATGGAGCCGGGTGGTTGGGAAAGGGTGCTTGTCTCCAGTTTGTGTGTTATGAGACCCTGTCTTCTGGATGACCTTGGCCTTCAGATGACACTGTTTCCCACCAAAGCTGGATAGCTCTCTAGGAAGAGCTGTGTGATTTTGGAATCCATCTGCATCTACTGAGGTACTGACATGTCACTGTGTGTCTTCTGTCTCCAGTAGGAGCAAATCACAAAAGACAAGCTCCAGACACCTCTCCTGAACTGTGGGAGCCAGGTAGATTATGACTGGATAGAACTTAGACCACTGGAATTGGAATGTTTTATGGATCCCCTTGTTAGGGTTTTGTTTTTTAAGATCCATTTTTATTTTATGCATGCAGAAGCTAGAAGAGGGTGTTGGATACCCTGGGATTGGAGTTACAGAAGGTTGTGAGGCCCTTTGTGGGTGCTGGGAACTGAACCTGGGTTCTCTGCAAGAGCAGCCACTGCTCTTAACCACTGAGCATCTCTCCAGCCCTGTCCACTAGTTGGGGTTTTAATGAGGTTTGTCCTTCAATCTTGCAGTGACTAGTTATGACATGGGAAACATTTTTATGGTTGCACACATCTATGCCTGAAGTGTAAAGTCCTTCACGGCAGCTGCTTCCCACAGATCCCTGCTTTATTGGTGTCTCGTGCCCACTGCAGTTAGAGCTGAAGGACTCTGTCTTCTCCTCCTCAACCACAGCTGAGAGGCCAAACTTAGGCCCGTGTCTTTTGTTGAAAGGCCTCTCTGCTTATTTTACTGTATGTCCACATTAATACCCATTTGTATTTTAAGTTTTGCAGCCCTGGCGTGGTAAATTATTGGATGAGTCCCTGCCTTCCTGATTTGTGAGGGAAGGGTTCCCTCTCATTTCCTTTTAATTTTCTTTTTAAAGATAAAATCATTATTATTGTGTGTGTGCACCTGTGCACATGAACACACACCATGGCACGTATGTGTAGGTCAGAGGACAATTTTCACGGACCAGTTGTCTCCTCCCGTCGTGGGTTCTGGGGATTTAACTCAGGACACTGGGCTTATGTGACAGGTGTTTTTACACTTAAGCTCACCACCCTCTGGGTCTCTGCATTGGCTGGGGAGATCCTGGCGGGGGGTTCTGACTCAGCCGGAGAATGAGCAGCCTTTGTACGGTCTGTAAGTGGCCATCAGAATTGAGCAGCCCCAGCAGCACACACCGAAAGAGGAAAGGGCATAGTGGGTAAGTGAGCAGAGAGGACAGTCACAGTGCTGTCTCCCTCTGAAGCATTGACCACTTCTTGTCCAGAGGCAGGGTACGCTGTGGTCCATGGCCAACACAGACACGGCATGTGACAGGCAACTATATAGAGATGTGATGTGGCTGCAGGGAGCCTGCCTTTTCGGCCGCCGTCCTGTGGTTTCAGATCATTATCTGAAGAAGCATGTGACCACAGCAGACCTTGTCCTCAGCAGTGTCCCAACTTGAACAGACCCCTTACTCATACCACCTGTCCCAAGTCCATCCTAGGAATAGACACTTTCACTGGCACGTGTCTTCCCAGGACCCATCCACAGCTGTTGGCACGTTTCTAATCCTTGGAATTAAGATGGGCCATGTCTGAGCAGTATGGTTTACCATTCTTACCCTTTAAGGTTTATAGCATATACTTCCATGTCAGGCTTTGTTGTATCTTTTTGTTTTGTTTTTCAGACAGGGTTTCTCTCTATTGCTTTGGAGACTGTTCTGGAACTAGCTCTTGTGGACCAGGCTGGTCTTGAACTCACAGAGATCCACCTGCCTCTGCCTCCCGAGAGCTGGGATAAAGGCGTGTGCCACCACCGCCCGGTTATTGTTACTTATTTTGAAAATGCGGGTCCTCATGCCTGTGTGGCCAAGCCATCTCTGCAGCCCCGGCTTTCACACTTTCACATACGTTTTACTCTTTAGGACCCGAATGCACCACTCATCCTTGTAACCATTTTCTTTCTTCTTGGATGTCCACGGGCCAGCATTTCTTGCTTCAGATCTGCTGTCCCACACATGGGCACCCTTCCCCTTTTGGGTATTCTGAGATAAGTTCCCAGAGCCACAGCCCGTGTCTCACTGTGGGCTATAGTCCCTTTTTCTTCCCGGGTCCTACTGGAGTCACATGAGCGTAGCCAGCCATGTAAGAACCTGGTGGTGGGTTCTTCTCCACTTCCTTTACTCTCTGTTAAATGACATTGTCAGCAAAATAGCTCCTCACACGCACTGCTTCTATAGGTCGGGGTATCTATAGTCTAGGAATGTGGAATGCAAACCTTCCAGGGTGGGGTTTTTGTTTTATTTGTTTTCCAGTCCTAGGGGCCAAATCCAGGGCTGTGAGCATGATGGGCAAGCTCTCTACCACTAAATCCCCAGACCTTTAAAACTGCTATATAAAAGTATCCTTATGCTGTGTGTATAAAAAGTATACTGAGCATAAATGCATTTCATGCTTAGATGTGGGTCCCATCCCCAAGGTATTTCCTAATATGTCTGCAAATGTTCTGAAGCCTGGAAAAAAAAAATGAAACCCAAAACACTTGTGGTCTTCATCTTGGTGGATAAGGAACACCCAGCCTGTCACAGAGCGGAGAGTGGCTGATGTCAGAGCTGTCCTTGCAGACCTCACTGCCCCGAGGTCTCATCTGGCCACCAGAGCATACACTCTTTTTTAGTCGTCAACAGCCAGGGCCTGGGCAGGCAGCATCAAGTGGGAGTACAGAATGAGGGAGGCTTGATGGGTGAGTGAAGCTCTCAGAGGGACTGAATCTCCTGGTGGCCAGGTGGCCAGTTCTCCCAGCATCTCCTGTCTCTCCAGTGTCCTGTCCGTCCGTACAGAGAGGCTCAGCAGGCATTTTAGGAGTCTGTCTGAAGGTATTCCCTTTGGCTGTGTTGTGGCTTCGCTCTCATGGTTTAGCCTTTTTGTTCCTATCTTCTTCCTACCCCACTGACCAGTTGAAATGATAGCGTAAAGAGCGCTTCCCTCCCTCCCTGCAGTCTCCCTTTGGGTTTTGTCATTTTGTGTTTCCAGCAGGCCTGGCCGAGAGTCGCTGGCTCCCCGTAGTCTCACTAGCAGCATCTGGTGCCAACCTTGGAGCTGCTGCCAGCACGTTGTGTATAAAGTGGGATCTCAGTACATATTAAGAAACACTAAAGTGTGTGTGTGTGTGTATGAGAGAGACAGACAGACAGACAGACATGTGCATGCGTGCACTCATGTCCTGCAGCACAGGTGTGGCAGCCGGGACCACTTTGGGGAGTCACTCCTTGTCCTCTGGCAGATGGGTGTTGTGAAGGTTGGCACTCCCAGCTGACTGTTAGCTCCACCTCCCGCTGCTTATAGAAAGGGGATTGATGTCTTGGGGTGGGTGGAGACTACTAGATTCATCCCTTTGCCATAGACTTGGACCGTGCCATTCTTGGTATTAAAATAAAAAGGCCAGAAAAACGTCAATTTGCCTTTCCTTATCTAATTTACTCCTGATTTCCCAGATAAGTTCTTTTAAAAATGTCTGGTAGTTTAGTCATTTTTAAACCAATGATTTAGTGGTTCTTGGCCTTTTTGTTTGTCTTATTTTGCTGCTCTTGAGATTAAACCCAAGGCTTATTGCTTGCTAAGCAAGTGCTCTGCCACTGAGCCCACCCCACCCCGTTTTCTTATTTGTTCACAATACTTGGACCCAAACAACAAACTGATTTGTGTTTCTTTTTCACTGTAGAGGAGATTGGCTGGTGTGTATGTGTGTGTGTGTGTGTGTGTGTGTGTGTGTGTGTGTGTGTGTTGTCCAAATGTTGTTACATGTTACATATAAATGTTGATATTCCCCAGTGTGGGAACTGGCCTGCTAGTTTGTCCTGGGCTCCCTCACTATAACCAAAGTTGATGATTGCTCTTGGATCGAAAGGATTCTCTCTGCTTCTGTCAAGTAGGGAGAGTGCAGGCTGAGGCCAGTGAGTGGCTGGGCCAGGAGGAGCTCAGTCTGGAAGCCTGCCTAGCTGGTTTGAACCTCCTGCCCTGGCCAGCCTGGGAGGTTCTTCCCAGAGAGCTGGTAGGGAGACCATCTGGTCTGGAGTCACTGTCTGCACAGCCTGGAAGAGACTTTTCACACTCTGCTTCTCATCCTCTAGGCTGCCAAGGGAAAGGACCCAGTGCCCGGGGCCAAGGATGGGAAGAGCCTCCTGAGCGGGCCAGTGCCTGGGGAGGCCAGCTGGGCACATCAGCGCCAACGGCGTCTGCAGGACCATGGCAAGGAGAGGAGGGAGCTACTCTCTACCTCCTCCTCCTCCTCCCAGGTATAGGGTGCCCAGGCTGAGTTCTGCTGCCAGGCAGGGGCTGTTCTGGCCTGGTTGGTTATCTATCACACTGGGGGTTGGGTTCTGTTTTGCTTGCTTTTCTCCAGGTAGCATTTCCTCAAGTTGGGCTAGAAAGGTCTCTGAGTTCTGAGGACCCCAGTATGCCAGTCCTTCCCATGGGTGACCTGTGTGTGGCAGCATGGGACTGGGGACTTGATCTCCTCAGAGGCTGACACAGTAGCCCACAGCATCCCTTTCCTCTGCTCCCCCAGAGTCCCTGCTGAGTGCCTGTTGTACTGACAGCCCTGTACTTGCTTAGCAAGATGCTATTGCCACATCCTCCCGAGGAGAGCCCTGGGGGGGGGGGGAACGGGACGGACAGGAGTCTCTTGCTCTGAGAGTGTGAGACAGCATTTGCTCTTGCTGATAGTGTAAGCTGTTTCTGTCAAGAGCCCAAGCAACTTACCGGCTCCCTCTCTTGCATACTTTCTCCCGGTTGGGCCCTCTTGTCCATTTAAAGGAATGTGGTGAAGGACTCTTGGTACCACAGGCAGGCAGATGCTGGACTGCTGGGGAGGTTGTCAGGCCTCTCCATGCCTGGCCATTGTCCTCGGTTTCCTCGGTCCACTTATCAGGAGGAGATGCTGGCTGCCATGGGTACACTGCCAAGGCCCTTCACAGATCTAGCTTCACCCCCAAGTTCTCTCCTCTGCCAGCCGGTGCCCTAAGGTGCCTAGCTTCTGCCTCAGTCCAGTGTCCACAGCTGTACCTGGGGGAGGTAATATCTTCTGGCCGTAAGTCAGGGATAAGGCGTGAGTCACTCAGCACAGGGCTTATCCACATTCAGCTCTTGTTAAACTCTGTTCCCTACCTGTGCTGGCTCGTTTCATGTCAACCTGACACGAGCTATAGTCTTCTGAAGGGAGGGAGCCTTGATTGAGAAAACACCTCCATAATGCCAGGCTTTAGGCAAGCCTGTAGGACATTTACTTAATTAGTGATTGATTTGGGAGGACCCATCCCACTATGGATCCTCGGTTCTGTAAGAAAGCAGGCTGAGCATGCCATGTGGAGCAGACCTGTGAGCAGCACACCCTCCATGGCCTCTGCATGGGCTCCTGCCTCCAGGTTCCTGTCCTGTCTGAGTTCTTGTCCTGACTTCCTTACTGATGGACAGTGATGTGTGGAAGCCAAATAAACTCTTTCCTGCTCAGTTTGGCTTTGGCCATGGTGTTTAGTCACAGCAATAGTAAACTTAAGACAGAAACTTGTGCCAGGATGGTAGGGTATTGCTGTGACAGCCCTGGCCATATTATTTTGGGGAGGACTGTGGAAGAAGTTTGGGACTTTGGTTGAGAAGATGCATCAAGTGTTCAGAGCCTGGTGAGCTGTTCTGTGGGAGCTTGGAAAAAATGAATGTGGAGAGGAGGCCTGGCTTGTGAAGTTTCGGAAGGAAACTTGACAGTTACTTAAAGACCATCAGGGCCATTGTATACTTGCTATTTTGAATTGAGATGATGTGTTTTGGTCAGTCTGGGATAAATCAGCTGTGATTTACAAGAGGCCAGCACCACTGAACAGACACCTTTGCTGGTCAGCTTAAGCTGACAAATGAGCTGTGACTAAGAAGAGACCAGCATCACTGCGGTGAGGTCTTCTGGGAAATGTTTCCTGACAGTCACCACCAGAAGCTGTGTTCCAGGGGCAGTCAAGGTTGTACCTTGGGCTGGTCAAACTTGGTAGTTAGGAGTCACCCAGGTGGTACTGGTTTTGAAGGCATGCAGGGGTCACGGATTGCTGCTGAGGCGTGGCGCTGTGAGGCCAGGAGAGCCCACTGGGGAAGGTGCAGCCTCGGGGCAGTTGAAGCCCTATGGTTGAAGGGGTCACGAAGAGAAGTTGAGGCTTGGCACCATGAAGAGAGCCTAGGAGAGGCTATTTGTAGCAGAGACCGCAATGATCTGGAGATGCTAGTACTGTGGGACAACCACTAAGAACAGCAGCAGCTGTGGAGTGGAGCCTACTACAGCTTAGAAGGACCAGCCGTGTGTGCGCAGAGGGCGGAGCCAGAGAAGCCTGTTGGAGAAGCCCAGAAGATGGGGAGGGATCCCAGATGTTGGACATCGAGTTGTTTACACTGTTGGAGTTTGGTTTTGCTTTGTTCACATTGTGACTGCGCCCTGGTCCTTCCGTCTTGAAGTAGAAAGTGTTTAATTTGTTTTTGAGTTCATAGGTGCTCACAGCTGCAAGACTTTAAACTTTTAAAAAAGAGACTTTTGGAGCTTTACAGGGCTTTGGATTTGAAAAGAGGCTGGATAATTTTTAGAGAGACAACTTCGAAAGTGTTTGAATTTGTAAGGCTGTGGGACTTTTTAGGTTTATGTAATGTTTTATATTATGTCTTTATTAATGTGAGATCTTGGGGGATGAACAAGAAAGGGAAAGTTGTGGCTTAACAGTGATGTGTTTGTGTGACAAGGGGTCAGTTGTGCTGGTTAGTCGTGTGTGAACTTGACACAAGCTAGAATCATCTGAGAGGAGGGAGCCATGGCTGAGAAAATGCCTCCATAATACCAGGCTGTAGGCAAGTGTGTAGGCCAGGGGTTCTCAGACTTCATAACGCTGCAACCCTTTAATACAATTCCTCATGTTGTGGTGACCCCCCAACCATAAAAAGATTTTAGTGCTACTTCGCAACTATTATTTTGCTACTGTTACGAATCATAATGTAAATGTGTGATATGTGACCCTATTTTTTTTTGGGGGGGGGGTAGATCCACAGGTTGAGATCCACTGCTCTAGGGTGTTTTCTTAATTAGTGATTGATTATGGGTGGAGCCTCCCCTGGGCTGCTGGTCCTAGATTCTATAAGAAAGCAGGCTGAGCAAGCTAAGGGCAGCAAGCCAGTAAGCAGCATCCTCCACGGCCTCTGCATCAGCTCCTGCCTCCAGGTTCCAGCCCTGCTTGAGTTCCTGTCCTGACTTCTATTGATTTTGAAAAGTGATGTAGAAGCATAAGCCAAATAAACCCTTTGCTCCTCAACTTGCTTTGGTCATGGTGTTTCGTCGTGCCATAGTAACCCTGGCTGAGACACTAGCCTCTGTCTGGCCTGCACCAAGACAAGACAGAGTCATGCTGACTCCCATCAGAGAGGGCAAGGCCAACCCTCTCCCCCAACCAGGGCCTGTGAGAAGATTGCAATTCCCAGGAAGCAGGCTCCCTACTCTCCCAGGGGAGCTGTGCATAGCTCTCGAAGCTCACAGCTGACCTCATGTGGCAGTGGCCACCCATAGCCAACTAGTATGTTTGTGTGGTGAAGGAGACCCCTCGTAAACTGACATGTCCCCGCTTTGCTGGCCGCAGTGCACAGAGAAGAAGCCAGAAGGCAGTGGCCCAGAAGCTGAGCCCTGCCTGGAACTCCACAGGGGGCCAGGGGAGCCTCTGGCCCGGGTGTCCACAGCAGGCTCCGAGGGAGGCCGCCCCGAGCAGCCCTTCATAGTGCTGAGCCAGGAGGAGTATGGGGAGCACCATTCGTCCATCATGCACTGCAGGTGGGCCCGGGGTGGGGTGTGGGGGGGCCTGGGCTTCTAGGCAGTGTGTGGGGATATTGGTGGCAGGAAGTGTCCCTGAAAGGGTCAGCAGAGACCTGCTGGACAGGCTCCACTCTCCTCTAGACCACTCCATTTTATTTGCTCTGTGTTAGTGTCTGTATGGACATTTTGACCATGTGCAAGTGTGTATTTAAACATAATGAAAGCAGGGCCCTAGGAACAGCCGCTGAGGGAGTGGGAATGTGCCCTCAAGGCATCGGCAGCTTCATGGTTTCACAGCCCCCGTCTGAGCTTGGTCCTTGGGTTGACCTGGAGCCTAATGGAGGAAGCCCCGATCTCAGATGGCAGGTGCCCTGGGACACACACTCTGAGACTTCCTCTCACGTGTTCCCTGCACAGCCTTGCACGGCACAGTGTAACCCATTTATTTGTTATTTATGTATTTATTGTGTGTGTAAATGTATGCATGCGTATGGCGGTCAGAGGCCAGCTCCCGGGAACTGGCTCTTCTACACCTAGCATGGGTCTCAGGAGTCTGGGTCAGTTCGCCAGGCTAATGCAATAAAGATCTCTGCTTACTTTTATCAGAAAGGGAAGCCATGCTCCTGGTGCCCTGTAGTGTTTCTTGGACGAATGAATGTTTCTAGAGTGGTTGACACTCACCCTTTGAGTGCAGGCCTTGAGCATTAGTTTTTAACGCAGTTGGAAAGTTGGGAAAGTGACAGTATCATTGTTGATCTTAGAGGCCAGGACACTAACACCTCCCTTTGTCCTGTCACAGAGTGGACTGCTCTGGTAGGAGAGTGGCCAGCTTAGATGTAGACGGGGTCATCAAAGTGTGGTCCTTCAACCCAATCATGCAGACCAAAGCATCCTCCATTTCCAAATCACCACTGCTGTCCTTAGAGTGGGCCACCAAGCGAGACAGGCTGGTAAGTGACAGTTTGCATGCCGAGTTTGCATAGAGATGTTCCAAGGTCAGAAGTTCTGTCTCCAAGGCTCTTGACAGTCCAAGCTGAGGAGGTGAGCTGAATCTCACCAGTTGCGGGGGGTCAGAAGCATACATCTAGGAATGGCCCAGCAGGCCCCTGCTTGGGGTGGCCGTGAGGTTATTCCTGGAGACCATGGAAAACTTGGTGTTGTCTGTCGGTAAGGTCTGTCTCAGGAGATGCCTGCCCTCCCTCTCCCCCCATGTTTCTGATACATTATTAGTACACCCTCTTCTCTTGCTGAGACCTGCCTGTCCCAGCACAAAGAGCAACAGCCTGTGTGGATGATGGGGCAGTGTTCTAGTTTGTGGTCCCCACAGGTCCAGTCGCTCCAGGAGTGGCCCAGTGTTATTTTCCCAATGGACTTTCTGTTTGAGACAGGGTTTGCAGTTAAGGAGTTAAACTTGATTGTTTGTGGCCCAGGAGACAGACACTGATTTTTCCAGATGTCTAGAAAACATAGGAAGGAATTGTCCTTGTTGGATGCTCATCTCAGGGCTGTCCCTGAGCTGGCAAAGTGGGCACAGAGGCCATTGCCTAGCTAATATTCCTGGGGACACCCCCAGACCCGATATGGCATTAATTTCTGTTATTCTCTTAGCACCCAAATGAGTCTCCCAAGGTCCCAGAGGCAGGGGGGACTCACTCTATATATTCTGGAGTCCTTGATGGAACCAGGGCCAGAGCTGTCCCTGCAAAGGCAAATAGGATAGTCACTGCAGCCCAGGACTGGCCGGGGCCAGGCCTATGGATGGGTATAAAAAGTAGGAGCAAGAAGAAATGGATTTAAAGCTGAAAGGAAGGAGGGAAAGGTTAAAGGGTCTCAGGTAACCAGCCAGAATATTCTGAGTGTGTCTCTTCTTCCACAGACAACATAGAAGTCTGCTTTCTGTTGCTGTAACAACATAGTTGAGGCTGGATATTTTTTGAAGAAAAAGCTGTTTATCTAGCCCTCAGTTCTATAGGTTCAAGAACACGGTTCCAACATCTGTTCAGTTCTGGTGAAGGCTCCCTCGGCTGCACCATCTGCATTATGAGGGGAGCGTGAGCCTAAGGGAAAGACAGGCAAGACAGGAAGCCAAAGAGCGAGTTAGGGCAATGCTTGCTTTTCAACAACCCTAAAGAGAGAGAACAGATTCACTTTGAGTCCATCATTAATCTCACCTGAGAGCAATCCCCGTGGTCTAATCACCTACTTAGTCCCAACTCTTCAGTGTCAGTCCTGACCCTTTCACATCAAAATACTGGGGAGCAAGCTGCCAGAACACTCAGACCAGATTTAGATCAAAGCGGATGACTGTGGGTTTTCATCTGTTCAAGGTTGGCTTTGATGTCTTCATGACATTTTTTTTTTTTTTTTTTAAATCAGGTGGGTGGTGATGGTGCACACCTTTAATCCCAGCACTCGAGAGGCAGAGGCAGGCAGATATCTTGAGTTTGAGACCAGCCTGGTCTACAGAGCGAGTCCCAGGACAGCCAGGGCTGTTACACAGAGAAACCCTGTCTCAAAATCCAAAAAAACAAAGTAAAGTCTTTATTTTATGTTTTGTCTGCATGTCTCTCTATGCACCTCATATGTGTCTGGTGCCTGAGGAGGCAGAGGAGGGCATCAGATCCCATGGGACTGCGGTTTAGATGGTTGTGAGATGCTATCTGGGTGCTGGGAATGGAACCTGGTCCTCTGAAGAGCAGCTAGTTTTCTTAACCAATGAACCGTCTCTCCAGCCATCTTCATGGCATTTTAGGTGAGGTCCACTGTAGCCAAAGTTTCCCGGCTGCCTGGATAAGTGGGTAAAGAGCTCGCCCTTGCAGCCTGCCCAGCTCCACACCATATGGGAGCGGGCCTGGTCTCTCGCTGTAGTGGCCTCCCTGGCCCCGTGTGCTGTCCTCCTCAGCCTCCTGTCTCTCCTCGTTCCAGCTCCTCCTGGGCAGTGGTGTGGGGACGGTTCGTCTTTATGATACAGAAGCCAAGAAGAACCTCTGTGAAATCAACATCAACGATGACATGCCCAGGTGAGCAGGAGCCTCCCCACGCCCTGTAACTCAGAGTGCTGCATGCACTTGCTTTGTGGACTCCCCCTCCTGGAGTGGGATTCACCCCAGAGCCCGTGGTGGTGACCATCTGACTCCGGCCTGTGTGTGTTGCAGAATCCTGTCTCTTGCCTGCAGCCCCAATGGGGCCTCTTTCGTCTGTTCAGCTGCAGCTCTGAGCCTCGCCTCCCAGACAGACTCCCTGGCCCCGGATGTTGGCGGCAAAGGCATGAACCAGGTTCCTGGCAAGCTGCTGCTGTGGGACACAAAAACCATGAAGCAGCAGGTACAGGACCTGCCTGTGGGTCTCCTGGGGCTGGGCATGCTCCCTGGAGGGCAGCCTGTGTAGAGGGCCCGTGGTCCCACTCCCTGTGTTTTTGATGTGTGTCTTCTCCCTTTAATGCTTTCACCTGAGGGTTTTGATTTGCGAGAGCGATTCCAGGTTCTGAGTGTTGAAAAGCATCGTGCCCGGGGTTGGGCAGATAATGAGCAGTAGAGTGCTATAGACTTAGGTTACCCAGAGCTCACCAACAGGCTGGGTAGTTTATACTTCGGGAGACCACCCCAGTCTTTCCCTGGCCCACCGGTCACTTAAAGCTGCATGGGGATCACAGCAACAGCCGGAGGAAGTCCTGAGGACGGCGTGGCGGCTGACAGGGAGGCTACTGCATGGCCCACCTCCCTGGAGCCCAGGGCCCCTTTTCTCCAGAATAGAGTGCTTGCAGTTAGTGTAGCCCTGGAGAGAAGTGATGTCACCTCATCTGCTTAGAGTCTCGGTGCTCGACGGGTGTCGGATTTAATGCGTAGCAGAAGCGCGGTTTACAGTGCTCACCTTGTCCCTGGTACTCTCGGGACTCAAGGTCTCTGGCTAAGAGGGAGCCGTTTCTACATGTGTGGGCTCTACCCTCGCGCGTGTGCTGGCAGAAACAGCCTGTGTGCCCTCTGGGGACATCTCCCAGGCCTGTCAAGCCTATAGAACACGCTGGATTCTTGCCAGATATGCCCCATTTAGACGTTAGGTGCCATCCCCAGAGCCCCCTCAGCACACCTTCAAAGTGCACTTCCTGGCCGCTGTCCATTTTCCCATGTCTCCAGGGACATACCCTAGACCTGTCCGCAGTGCAGTGCCGCAGGGTGGGACAGCTGCAGGGCCTCTCTGGGGGACTCTGCCACTGTCCTCCATACCAGCTTAGTCCTGTGTCATCTCTATTGATACTCTGCGATCCTCCTCCAAAGTTCTCAGTAGGATTCGTAGCCCTTAAGTTTACTCAGGGATTTCGGTTTTTACCTTAAATATTGAGTACTTCGAAAAGATTGTAGGAAAATGAGAAAGGCAATGGGATGGGCTCCCCACTTAGAAGTAATACATCACCGGTACTTCTTTTAATTAAAATAAAATTAAATTTAGCACGCGTGTGTGTGTATGTGCGTGTGTGTGTGCATGCACACGTGTGCATGGGTACATGCCTGTGTGTGCAAGTACTTGTGTAGAAACCAAAAGACAATCTGTGGGAGTTGGTTTTCTTCTACCTTGTGGGTCCCAGTGACTGAATTCAGGTCATCAGGCTTGGTGGCAAGCACAGTTACCCACTGAGCCATCTTGTTGACCCCATCAGCTCTGATGCTCATGGGCCCTTCTGGTCTCTGTGGCCTTTCCCCCTTCACAGAGATCCTGTCTGAGTTTTGAGTTGCTGTCTCCGTGCAGTTTAACAGGTGCCTTAGCACATGGGTAGATCACACACACATCATTGTTTCTGCTTCAGGGGCTTCCTGGCTTTATGTGTGTGGCATCACAGGGTATGCGTTTTTCCGGAGTGCTGTATTCTAGTTGGAAACGGGTCCCCCCCCAACTGTCTGTCCTGTCTTCTCTTCTGGCAGCCTGTGCCGAAACAGAGATGTTGCCTGTCAGTGCAGCTCACCCTCCTCTGTCTGTGGCTATTTTTAAGATCTGATCTGGGTGTCTCAGTGTGGATTTTCTAAGCTTAAAAAAATAATAATAATAAAAAAAAAAACCCTCTAACTCAGAGGCTTGTTACAGGGAGGTGCATCTCTCTGCTGGGTGACGGGGGGTCCACCAACAACTGAACACTTTGAAATCCATTCTCAGGCTACAAAGGGCTTGTGAGTCTGGTTGTAAACCCACAGCAGCTCTGTGGTTCTGCTGGGCAGAGAGGTGCAGGTTCTTAGTGCTTTCTGTGAACTTCTAGTTCATTCTTTCACAGAGGATGTCCCTCTCTGGAGTCTTAGCAGCGTGTGGGAAGTTTTTAACACTGGACTTGGCCGGTCTGTTCACTGTGGACTTCCGGCTTCTGAGTGTTCCTTTCCTATTGGGTTCTCTATCCTCAAGGCTCTTGTCCTCCCTTATCTTTGGTCTTGGAGGACCCCTTTGTTTACAGCTCAATGCTGTGCCTGTGTGTGAATGACATCGTCTAACACGGTCTTGCAGTTTTAGTCCCAGGAGGCTTCCGTATCACTGGACATGGTGTCATTATTATCAGATTAGTATTTACATCTTCTGGGGTGACTTTGTTAGGTCCTGTGGAGATCCTGGGCTCCATAGGAAGGGACTGGAGCAGCTTTGGGATGTGTGTGTCCTCTGTCACTCAGGGCTGCCTGTAGTGGAAGGCAGTTGATGGATTGTTAGTTCCTGATGGTAACAGATGTGTTCAGTAAGACCAAGCTTGGAGTCCACTCGAGGAAGGAAAGCATGGGCTGCTGAGATACAGGTTACTTGTAATTGCCCTGGCCTGGATTATTGCCTCAGATGGGAAACTAGAGTGTCTACAGGCCCGATGATATTAGCCCTCAAAGAACACATCTGTCAGTCAGTGTGCTCTCACAGAGTGAGACTCAGGTCATTTCCTCCAGAAACAGGCCTTGCAGGGGGATCCAGCGGAGCGTCTGCGTTAGTCTGCTAATGGTGTGCCTGTTTGTATCCGTAGCTTCAGTTCTCACTGGACCCAGAGCCCATTGCCATCAACTGCACAGCTTTCAACCACAATGGGAACCTGCTGGTCACAGGGGCAGCTGATGGCGTCATCCGGCTCTTTGGTGCGTAAGTTGTGCTGTGGCAATCCTGGTCCCCTCCTTAAATGACCCAGTGGGAGCTGAGGCCATTGCAGAAGTCCAGCTCACAATGCGTATTCTATTAGTTGACTTAGCTGTGTCCTCAAAACTTCTAGCACAGTCAACTTATCTGTGCTTACTGTCTGTAGACAGAGCTCAGTAGTCCTTTGGCCTCGAGCTGATTGACCCGAGTCCTTGTCACCTGTGTGGAATTCAAGGGGTCACAGGAGAACAGTGTCATCCTGTTCACTTGCTGTAAGGTAGCTTGTCCTCTGTCCCCAGGGAGACAGGCCTAGGTTCTAGAATGGGATAAGGTGACCCCTATGTAACAGCTCCCCAAGGTGTCCTGGGGACAGTCATCGAGATCTAGTGAGAAGAATGCTTATGTCTTTCTAGACTTACAGAGCCCCCTCCTCCCCGTGAGCTCTAGCTGTCCCAGGCGCCCCCAGTCCTCCGCTTGGCCTGGTCAAGAGGCTGCTCAGAGGCGGGTGGCCTTGGCAGGGTCAGCGCTTTCTGGTCCAGGAGGCCCCTGACCTCTAGAGCAGCTGTCAGCGAGGAGGCCGAGGGCCGCTGCTGTGCATGGAGGCCTTTCCAGGCGTGATGTGAAGCTGAGTAGTGTCTTGCTCTCTCAGACATGCAGCAGCATGAGTGTGCCATGAGCTGGAAGGCCCACTCCGGGGAGGTCTACTCCGTGGAATTCAGCTGTGATGAGAATGCCGTGTACAGCATTGGCGAGGATGGTAAGGTAGGCACCAGCAGCGCTTGGTGGTGGCCAGGACCATCCACGAGCTCTTTGGCCTTGGGCTTCGTTCTGCCTCCATTTCGTCTCCTGCAAAATAGGGCTGCATAGAAGTCTGCCAACGAGCATCTTTGTGGGGTTCAGTGAGTTCAGTGGGGCTTGGCTATTCTTGTAGATGGGAGTTCCATATCCATTTTCCAGTTGTGGCAAAATTGACTCACTCCGCCCTAGATGGAACCACGTGTAGGGGAACATATTCTTTGATGCATTGGGGTCATGGTCACTGGACAGAGTCAGAATACTGTTGGGAAACAGGTCTGAGCAAAGCCCAAAGAAGTACAAGGGAACGCATGTCTCCTAAGGCAGTAGAAGACAATGCCTTTGTAGATTCCCTCTGGGTAAGGTGGATTATGAAGGAGGAATAGCAATGGCCTTGCGCAGAAGGTGAGGGTAGGCAGAGGCAGAAGAGAGACTTAGCTGTCTCATATATAACCCTCCCAGAATCTGTGGGATATTATACTGTCCATGTTCCCCACTGGAAACAGTGACTACAAAACAAACTATTTATTTATTTATTTGGGTATTTATTTATGTGTTAGATCATGTCTCTCTCTATAGCCCAGGGCTGGTCTCAAACTTGGGACAATGCTGCTGGTATAACAGATGTGAGCCACCTAACAGTTTTGATCTACTTATATATTTACTTAAGTTATTTTGAGACTGTGTTCCTGGGCTCCAAGAGGCTCCTACCTCAGTCTCCCTTAGGGACGGGATTGCAGACATGTACCGCAGTGTCCTGCTTTGGCTCTCCCTTTGAAAACTCTGTGTAGGGCTTTTAAGTTAGAGCTTGACACCCTGTTGTGCGGGAAGGACTCCCAGGGAAGCCAAGTAAGACGTCCACAGAGTAGGCTGCTAATTATCTACATGGCAAGTAAAACCGGCAACAGGCCAGTCAGCGCGTGATTGGACTGCTGAGAAACTGGAAATGGGCTTGGAATCTGCCCATCTGTCCTCTCTACTTTGTTCCAAGGTGCAGAGAATCTAGGCATACCCACCCCCACTCTAACCCAGAGACCGGAAGGCCCTGCAGGGCCCATGACTGTCCCTTCTTCTCTCTTGAACTTAGACCCAGAGGAAAAAGGAGGTCCGAGCTCTCAGATGAAGTTGTTCATTGTTTTCTAGGGTTTTTTTTTTTGTTTTGTTTTGTTTTTTTTTCTGTCTGAAAAAATTTGTATTGGTGAGAGGTGGGACTGAGGGATGGGGACTTGTGCCGCCACTTCCTGCCCGTGAAAGGTTCTTTTCAGGGCTGTGGAACTGGCAAGGGGGGCGGTGGCCCTAGCCAGTCGTTGCCTGGGGTCAGCCCTGGCTTTGCCTCCCATGGCCTAAGTGGTGACCACAGTGGGGACACCAAGAGAGCTAGGGTGGTGGCCGGCCTCTGTGCGAATGTCTGAGCGAGGGAGCCCCTGGGGTGGTGAATGTCTGAGCGAGGGAGCCCCTGGGGTGGCGAATGTCTGAGCAGCCCCTGGGGTGGCGAATGTCTGAGCGAGGGAGCCCCTGGGGTGGCGAATGTCTGAGCGAGGGAGCCCCTGTGGTGGCGAATGTCTGAGCAGCCCCTGGGGTGGCGAATGTCTGAGGGAGCCCCTGTGGTGGCGAATGTCTGAGCAGCCCTGGGGTGGCGAATGTCTGAGGGAGCCCCTAGGGTGGCGAATGTCTGAGCAGCCCCTGGGGTGGCGAATGTCTGAGCAGCCCCTGGGGTGGCGAATGTCTGAGCAGCCCTGGGGTGGCGAATGTCTGAGGGAGCCCCTGGGGTGGCGAATGTCTGAGCAGCCCCTGGGGTGGCGAATGTCTGAGCAGCCCCTGGGGTGGCGAATGTCTGAGCAGCCCTGTGGTGGCGAATGTCTGAGGGAGCCCCTGGGGTGGCGAATGTCTGAGGGAGCCCCTGGGGTGGCGAATGTCTGAGCAGCCCTGGGGTGGCGAATGTCTGAGGGAGCCCCTGGGGTGGCGAATGTCTGAGCAGCCCCTGGGGTGGCTTGTCCCTACAGTTCATCCAGTGGAACATCCATAAGAGTGGCCTCAAGGTGTCCGAGCACAGCCTCCCTTCAGATGCCACCGGCCCCTTTGTCCTGTCCGGCTACAGTGGCTACAAGCAGGTTCAGGTCCCCAGGGGCCGGCTCTTCGCTTTCGACTCAGAGGGCAACTACATGCTGACATGTTCTGCCGCGGGGGGCATCATCTACAAGGTAACCGGGTGGCAGAGTCCTGTTGGGCAGGGGGTTCTCCGTGGGCGTCGGCCTGGCTGATCTGAGCTCAGTGTGTCCTGTACCCTGAGTCCTACGTAGCTGAGTGTGACCCCATGTCATGTGTCCTACAAAGCTTAGTGTGTCCTGTGCCCTGCATAGCTGAGTGTGCCCTGTGCCCTGCATCTAATAAGAGTCTGCACTTTTCTTGTCTTATTTCTTGGGAATACTACATACTAAGGGTGACATGAAGTAGTGCAAAGGGCTTGGGAATGTGGGCAGGGAAATCTACAATAGGCTATTTCATGGGAGGCCTGTGGGCCAGTAAGTCCACATGTGTGGGTGCAAGTTATTTTTAAAGATTCCTTTTATCCTTATTTATGTGTATGTATTTATGCGTATGTGTTTGGTACCAAGAAGGTGTTGGATACTGTGGGATTAGAGTTACAGGTGGTTGTGAACAACCCTACACAGTTCTACGAGTTGGCCGAGTCCGGTCCTCTGCAAGAGCAACAAGTGCTCTTAACTACTGAGCATTTATTTTTTATTTATTTTGGTATGTAGTTACATGTATGACACGTGTGTGTGTGTGTGTGTGTGTGTGTGTGTGTGTGTGTGTGTGTGTGTGTGTAGGTCAGAGGACACCCTGTAGGAGTCAGGTCTCTTCCTTCCACCATGTGACTCCTCGGGACCAAACTCGGGTCCCCTTTACTCATCACGCCTTCTTGCTGGCTTGTCCTCATTATTTTCGTTGTTGTTTGTTTGTTTGTGTTCGAGACAGTGTTTCTTTGTGTATCCCTGGCTATCCTGCAGCTCTGTAGACCAGGCTGGCCTTGAACTCAGGCCCGCCTCAGCCTCCCACGTGCTGGGATTAAAGGCGTGCACCACCACTTGGGGGTCCTCATTGTTTTTGTCCCTGTTTATACATTGAAAAAACAAAACAAAACCTCTGAAGTCAGAGCAGCTCAGCTTGACGTGGGGTTTTGTACAATTGATAAAACTTCTGTCAACATAGTCCTAGCCTCATCCAATGGATGCGTGATGAGGACGACGTGTCTGGTGCTGAGAGCCCATCTCCCTCCTTCAGGCTCATTTGTGAGCTTCTCTGCCAATGGTGTTTCATCTGCGAGACTGAGGGGTCCTCTAAGGAACCCATCCTCTCAGCGGCTCTTAACAGGCTGGGTCTTGAGCAGTCGTTGTGTGCTAGCGACTCTGCACTGTGGAATGGACCAAGGAAATAGAAAAATGTCCACAAGTTAGACAGCACTGAAAGTAGGTGACGCACAGCTGCACAGCTAAGTCCGGGGAAGACCCCAGAGGAGGATCCGGGTGGGGACCAATTCCCAGGACGACCTAGAGGAAGGCTTCCAGCTGTGGAGTGCAAAGAGAAGGGGCAGGAGGCAAGGAAGAGGGCAGACCTTGGGCCCCAGCATGGGCAGAGGCTGCTGGAGGAAGGGGCGTGTGGGCTGGGTGGGAGGAGCTTCACACCGACCTGATGAGTGGTGCAGTGACACCTCTTTCTGCTGAGGGCATTACTGTGCTCTCCCCCCACCCCCCGCCCCTGCAGCTAGTCACATGACCTTTCATCTGGGTCTCCCGTGAGGCACTGTAAAACACTACAGGTTTCAAGCCCAATTTTCCGCTTTAGAGCTCTTTCTAGCTGACTTGCGGGTGAGCTCTTCTCTGCTGTCCTTGTGGAGGGATGGTTGCGCGTGCGCTTTGTTGTCAATTGTGCAGCCTTTTACCCCATCAGATTATGCCGTGTGCAGTCAGACTCGCTCCGCGGTCAGATGAGGGGTTGACAGACTTTGCTGTTAATTTTTAAACCATCACGAATGGTTCCAGTTACTGAGGTAGTCTACTAAAGGTCGGCTTCCATTTTTAGGATCCATAAATAATTTAGTTGATGGCTTTCAGGACCATCTCGTCGTGAGGGCCAAACACTTTCAGCCACTCGCTCACGCTCACAGGGGTCACATATATAGCGTGGTACCGCTAGCAGTCATTTTGCTTCTGTTTCCCGGAGCATCTGGCCCTCCACACACATGTGCACATTCCCGCATGGGGGTACCGTGCTGCTGGGGCGGGGGGGGGGGGGGAGCACCGCGCTCACACATTAATCAAATTAATCAAGGACTTCCTGTACCAGACCCCATTTAGGGTGATGCAGCTGGCCACAGAGGTCCTGCCCTCCCACAGTTTGCATGCCCACAGTGAGGAGGGCGCCTCAGATGAGTGAGTAGGTACACAAGGCAGAGTCAACCAGTGACTGACAGGTGATGCTGTAACTGCCGAGTGCTGCGGAAAGAGGAGAGATGGAGGAGCGCTGGCCCATAGCTAGGTCAAGGCAGCAGAGGAAATGGCACCTCAGGGACTTGATGTCCACATGAGGTGGGCTGCCCACATCAGGAAAGTGAAAGCAGTATAAGCAGGCTTCCCAGAAAAGAAAGGCAGGAGTGTGGGCCGGGCCACATTCTCAGATTGGGGTGGCCACTCCCAGGCTCAAGGTAGTTTTTGGACACTAACCCTGAATGGAGGTGTGTGTATTCATCTGCTAACGTTTCCCTCCACTGTCCTTTTGCAGCTGGGCGGCGATGAGAAAGCTCTAGAGAGCTGCTTGAGTCTGGGCGGCCACCGGGCCCCTGTGGTCACCGTGGACTGGAGCACGGCCATGGACTGTGGGACATGCCTCACAGCCTCCATGGATGGCAAGATCAAGCTGACCACCCTCCTGGCGCATAAGCTCTGATGTCCCTGCCTGCAGCGACACACATCGGAAGCAGAACTGTCCCCCGGGGGAGGAGAGACAGAGCAGACGGCACTTCCTTCTGGCGCTTTCAGGGAAATTGCCAAGGGGGCTCAGCCACGGGTAGAAGCCTCTGGAGCGGGCTGTGTGTGCTCCCTGGAGACTTGAATGGTGGCCGCAGAGGGCATGCCACAGAGCACAGGGCGCTCGACAAGGACCAAGCCACAGTGGCCCACGCTGTGTTCACGGTCGAGGAACTGACAGTATTTTGTACATAATTGCTTCTTTTGTCTCTTTTAGAGGAAAAAAAAAAACAAAACAAAACCGAGAGAGGAGATAATGCTCTCGCAGTCCCTTGGTGTCTCTTTCTGGAATGTCTGAGTCACCTGGCCCTAGTGATAGCGTGGCTTCCTGCCTGGGCTCTTGTACCTCACCTCTAACCACCTCCCCTGCCATGTCGCTGGCAGAACCCCGCTAGGACGCCTGTGGCTTTGCCGGAGTTGAGTACCTCCTTGTGGGCTCAAGCCAACATGGGCCAGTCTTCCGCCCAACCTGAAAGCTTCCCCCAGATAACAGCGGGGCCTGAGGTCGGGCCCCCAGCTGCCCTCCTCCTTCAGTCTCATTTGGTGACGCATGTTTCCAGCTTGAGGTCTGTGAGCTTGGGTAATACCAGCTGCCTGCACCCTCTGCCTGCTTCTCTGAGCCTGGGCCGCCGCGTCTGCACACCTGCTGTCTGTCCCCTCATTTGGGAGGACCTTGCAGATGCTGAGACAGGTTCTTACACAGCGGGGTTGTCCGTCCTACATCCTGCTGCTGAGGCCAGCCTCGTGAGGAGCCGCTAGAGTCAGTAAGCCTGGGCCTTGGGCGTCCACACTTGGCAGGGGCCAGTGACCTTATTACCTCCCTAGGGAATGCCACTTCCATGCACGGTGACCGTTTGGAACAGTCATTTGGTAGTTTCTTTGGGCTCCGGGACAGTGGCGGGCTGGTTGTGGAGTCAGGTAACTCCCAGGTGCCCTCACTGTACACCGTGGCCTTGGCTCCCTTCCGGGGCTGAAGGAAAAGTAGAAAGCGATATATAGGGAAAACCAGAGAAGTAGTTACCTATTTATTGTTGGTATGTGGCGGGGCATGGGCCACGGCAGAGTTCAGAAGACAACTTGGTAGACTTGGTTCTCTCCGCCCACCTCTATGTGGGTGTGGGGGGATCAAACTCAGGTGGCCGGGCTTCGTGGCCAGTGGCTTTACCTGCCGAGCTAGCTCATAGCCATCTCTTTTTACCCATTCCCATATGACGTGAAGAGATTAATTCTTTTCCTGCCCGCCTTGGGCTTGGACACAGCTTTATCTATCTCACCCAATTCCTGCTCCTGGGTTTCATTTGAGTCAAGAGCCCATGTTTTTAACTCTTCCTCCCAAAGCTTTCCTTGTGGTTCATTCTTTCCTCCCAGGGTATTCCCCACAGCTTGCTGATGCGGTTTTAAAACTCAGAGAGAGAGAGAGAGAGAGAGAGAGAGAGAGAGAGAGAGAGAGAGAGAGAGAGAGAGAGAGAGAGAGAGCAACACCCCAGAACCTGTCCCTCCCGCCCCACCCACCCCTCCCAGGAAGAGCATTGTCCTCAGAGTATGTTGGGACCTCCCCATTCCTTCAAAGCCCCTTCTTGGGAACCCTTAGAAGCCTTCTTAAGGAAGGCTTCCCCCTGTGCTCTCTTGGTGAAGGAATCATGAGGCACAACCATGAAGGTGGGCTACACCACAGACTATGAGCCATTCTTCCAGGGGTTGAGAACCTGGCCAGGCTTATGTGAAAAGCCCATCTCTGCTCAGCCCCAACACCAGTCCCCATGGTGTTCAAACACCCAGGAGTTGGGCATGAGGTCTGGAAGTACAGTAATAAATACATTGTGGACTGACTAAATAAAGCAAACTGACAATTGTTACTATATCAGTGGCCACATACAGTTCTGTCATTTCAAAAATAATAAAAACCCACGTTGACACCAGCACAGGTTCCTTACTCCTTCCTGCGACAGGCTTCGTAGGGAGACACATGGGTTTCTGGTCCTAACTAAGCCTTATTTGCTAGGTGACCATGGAGAAGTTTTAAGAAAGGCTTGGGGAGTCATGGTAAGAACCAAAGGAAACGTGCCCGTCCATCCAGCCGGTCACACACCATTGCCTCCCATCCCGTGAAGTTACAACAGTCAAGTGAACGCTACTTTCATGACAGCCAGGCCATGCCCTCCCAGAAAGGCTGGAGTCTAGCCCAGTTCAAGAGCAGCGGGCGGACCCAAGCTCAGTGTGTGGGTGGGGTGGGGTGGAGGGGATTGGAAGCCATTGGTTTATGCCACTAAGAGCTGGGACTTCCCTGGCCCAGGATTAGCATTCAACAAGAGCCAGGTAAGTGCCCTGTGGAAGGAAAAAGGCTCCGCAGGGGATTGCAGTTGTAGCAATCTCAGGCTGCCCTAAATCAAGCTGAAAGACCCCGGGGAAAACCGGGCAGCTGAGGCAGAAGGCACCCCGGGCTGCCAAGCTGAATCCTGGGTCGTGTTGAACTTGGGATCCTCTTGGGGATGCTCTGGCAGGACTGTGGAAAACAGAATCCCTCTCCTCCCGCTCGCTCGTTACCAGCTGCTGCACTGACGTTCTCATAGCCAACAGCGGCAGCCGCGGACAGAACCCGGAGTGTGGATGCGGCTTGTGGTCTGCAGGGGGCACTCGGGGGCCTCAGTGCCAGCCAGAGGCCGGGGCGGGAGCGCGCGGGGGCCTGGAAGGCGAGGGCATCGGGAGCGTGCGGGACCGGAAGAGGCGGGCGGTGGATGGTGAGGTTGCTGCAGCTCTGACTCCCTCCCGGAACCGGCCGAGAGCGTCCCTGTCCCGTCCTGTCCCCGGGCCCCCGGGCCCGCTCTGCGCCCTTGCGGGTGGGAGCGAGCGGCGTGGCCAGCTCCCGCCTAGCGCAGCGAGGCCACACGTGTGTCTTCGGGGTGAGGTTTCCAGGGACCCACTGGGCCCGACCCCCACAGCTCTGAGCTCCAGAAACCACGCGGTCGGCAGCTCCTGGCTGCCGGCTCGATGTGCACGTCAATGATGCGTGTGCGGACGCGTCTAATACATTTCTGCATACCGTCACTGCATGGAATCTGTGGCTGGACAGCTTAGGTTTTGTCTTTTTTCTTTTGTTTGTTCCTGTCAATTAAGTTGCAAACAACCATTCTGGATGAGCCAAAATTACACACCCTGGCCTGGTATATATGGGTGTGGAGGCACTGGCTAGTGAATGTGAAGCAGAAGGCCTCAGGGACCATTGTTTGGGATGCAATGGAAAGGGAGATCAGAGTTGCCTACCTTCTTCCTCCTAGGGCGCAGAGGTGACTGGAAAGCATTTCTTGCTGCACGAGCTATTCGTGGGGGAGGGGACAGAGCGACGGAGTGGTCACAGAACTTTGTGTGCAGGCCCTATAGCCCTACCTGCTGCTGCTGCTCCGTTTGACACACTACAAATGGCCTGGTCTTCTGGGCTCTGCTCACCTCTAGCATGCCCCGCACCAACCAGTAACGGTTGCTGGTAACTGAAAGAGTATACTGACTGGGTTCCCTCTTGTAGGAACCAAAGATTGGCGCCCACTGGGGACAAATAGGCCCGGTGTGACGAGAGAATGTGAATTTTTTTTTAGTGCTGCACCAGAGAAGCAACTCACCGAGTGTGGAAAATGATAGTCATGGAAACCCTCAACTCCGAGAACAAAAAGAGGGTTCTTCCCTCCTGGATGACAGCCCCTGTGGATGAGCGGAGGGAGTCGTCGATGAAGTCGCCCAGAAGGAAGACGACAGCGGCTGTGCAAGCTGGGGTGGCAACAAGGTAGGGCAACCTGTGGTCAGGGCGCTTCTCGCCTGCCCGAGTGGGCGGGGCGAAGAGATGGGTGGCATCTCTTCCTAGCAGTTTCTGAGGCCTCGGCTGTCCCCTCACAGAGAAGTACCACCCGAGTCACTGTACCGGGGAGGGCCTGCCGTCTAGCTAGCTGTTGGCGCAGGCAGTGAGTTCTGTGTATAAACCATGCCTTCAGGAGCCAGTTGTCCAAAGTGCTGGTGTCTTCATTCCCGCATTTCCCGTGTGTGGACAGAGCTTTGTGGACAGTGAAGAAATCAGAAGTTGTGGGTGTTAGTTAGGTGAATGGCGGTGGCGGGGGTGGGTGGGAGAGTTTTATCAAGGGGGAGGGGAAAGCCCTCTCATTCCCTCGAAGGGGCGGCGTTAGGTTTCCAGTGCTATGCTTGCTGCCTCTTCGCTGGCTACCTGTACTCTCTGTAGTTGTTGCAGCCTTTGTCTAAATGTATTCCCACATTCAGGTACAAATTGGGCCCGGGCCTGATGACCTGTATTTGCTGTGTCCACTGTATGTTTGATTTTGAGACAGGGTCTATGAAACCTTGGCTGGCCTGGAACTCGCTCTGTAGACCAGGCTGGCCTCGAACTCACAGAGACCCGCCTGCCTCTGCCTCCCGAGTGTGGGGATTAGTGTGTACCACCACTCCAGGCTGTCGGCTGTGTGTTTCAAGGAGCGACCCTCGGAAGCCAGCCATCATTCCATCCCCAGTTCCTTGTGAGGAGCCCACGGAGGGTGGGTAGCCCTGTGCTCTGTCCCTGGGCCACCAAGATGAGGAAATTCTTCAGAGAAGCAGTTCCCCCACCCCTCCTGCCCCCATGGAGGATGCTTCCATCTCCTTCCCCCATGTGAGTCCCTCCGTCCTCAGCTGTGGCTTTGTGTCTGTATTCCAGGGCCCCTGTCATGAGGACTGTGTACTGTATGAACGAAGCTGAAATGGTAGAGGTGGCTCTGGAGGTCCTGATTGAGGTAACTTCAGCGCCGCGTCTCCTGACTCCTGTGACTGACTGGAAATGATCCACGGGTTCAGTCTAGCATAGGTCCTTGGCTCCTGGTAACAGAGGTGCTCTTAGGCTGCCTCAGGGTCCCGCCTCTCCCTCTTGCTCATTCCACCTAGCCACGCCTCTCAGCTACTTCCTATGTGTGATGTGCATCTGTGGGGTAGGCCTTTGAGACCAGCTGTGCAGGTGGGATACGGGTATCTACGGGCACGTGTGTGAGGGGCACACAGGGGAGGGCACCGGTTGAGTCGGAGGGCCCCTTACCAGCTCCCCTCTCGGTAGAAGGCTGGAAGTTTCCTGGCTTCCTGAAGGAGTAAGAGAGGCACTGTCATGAAGCTGCCGAGTCCCTGTTTTCCCCTGCTTTAAATCAGCTCGTAGTAACCCAGGGCTGCAGTGACCTGGGCTACTGCTGTCCCCAAGAAACTGGAGCTGAGTTAGGCCCAGAGCAGGTTGTGTAGCCTGGTGTTAGTATTCTCCAGCCTTTCCCCTTCTACTCAGCTGTCCCTCACACCTAGGCCTGCAGCTTTCCCCAGCCTGAGTCACGGGGAGCAGCGGGGAAGATCGGGTGGGTTCCCATGACGAGGCACGCTGCCTGGCCTGGTCATGTGCTGTACTGGCTTTGCAGTTGACTCAGGGTATGTCCACACCACTGTCAGGCAAGCGGTGCGCCAGGGAAACAGGCTGTTGTGTTGAGCCTGTCATTTCTTCTGCTCCGCAGGGCCGAAAACAGGAAGCGCCGACTCTGGTGGCCACCGATAAGCTGCGGCTCTCCCCTCCCTACTCTGCGTCTCCCAGTCCCCCTGGGAGCAGCAGTGGGGAAGAGGGCAGTGGGAACTGCTCACCTGCTCTAGGCCTCAGCCCTTCCCAGGGGCCAGAAGCCACCGACTCTCCCTGTAGCAGAAGCCCTAAGGAGGAGGAGGAAGATGCGCTAAAGTACGTCAGGGAGATATTTTTCAGTTGATGTGAGCCGTTCCCTGCACTTTCTTCTGAGAGCAGTAGACGACGACGCCTGCCCCTGCTACCCTCAAACGCCAGGCTTTGCTCCCAACTTCCAGTCCCAGAGGCTTTCAGACTGCATCCATTGGGATGTCGCCCTGCGCTGTCCTCCAGCTCAGAGGGTCTGGCTGTGCTTTATTCAAGTAGCAGCAAAAATGAGGTCGTGGGCCCACCCACTTGCTGGAAGCAAAGAAAATGTAGCAGCTGAGCTAACCCTGGGGTCCCAGAGAGACAGCCAGATGTCACACTCAGGTGGAGGCCTAAGAACAGTCCCCGTCCTGACAGTTCAGCAGTCGGCTTCTCCACCCCCACCCTCACCCCCCAACCGAAAAGGCTGCTGCGGCCCAGAGTTCCCTGCCAGCCTTGCAGCGGGCACTCTCACAGGCTGGCGGGCCATGTGGGTTCTCCCCACTCCCCGTTGCCGCCTCTCTTCCACCTGCCCCCCCCCCCGCCTTGGTCTCTGTACCGCTGGGACGGAGAAGGGGATGGGAGACGCTGAGGACAAAAGATCACACCCGAGTCCATGTCTCTGTGTGTTCACGGTGGCCTTTGATGAGCACAGGACGAAGAACTCGCTGCCATGTGGGGGTTGTGCTATACAGGCATTGAGAAACATACGATGATGCCCCCAGCGCCTCCCGGTTGTGGGTAAGGTGAGGGGATGCGGGCTGTGTTTGTGTGCAGGCGACTCTCCAGTCCTGTTCACCAGGCTTTGTCACGCCTTGCATCTGCAATCCTGGCTCACAAGAGTGGTTTTGACAGCTGCCTCCTGTCTGGCGTCAGGTCCAGGGGCTCATTCACAGGACCCCACAAAGCCAGCAAGGCTTCTCCCGTGCCCCGTGTTTCTTAGCTGAGTCCCTTTGAGGTTGTCCCCGGACCTCTGAGGCTGGAGTTCTGGTGTGGGGCATCACCCAGAAGCGACAGAAGCTGGCTAACAGGACTTGATGTTAGAGCAGTTCCTTCTGCTCTCGTTTGGCACTTGCTTGGAAATCTGGCCTCTCACAGTCAGGCTCCCACCTGCCTGAGGCCAGAGTGAGAATTGCTCAGATTGTCTGATTAAAGCAAGGATCCATGTGCTAATGAGCTACCCCGGTTCAATAGTCCCCCAGAGTAAGGGAGGGCACCAAGAAGCTGCAAGGCCCCCAGCCATCTTGCTGCCTCTGGCCTCTGCTGCCCTACTGTTCCGTGTGCCTGAGCTTGAGATCAACATTAGCTATGAAACAAGGTGGTTGAGAGGCCCCATCCAATCACCGGTTCTCTGGCTCCGTCTTGGAGCCCAGTTGGGACTGAGCCCCTGCAATCCCATCGGCCTTTAGCCTGGGCTAACAATTCCCCCACTCGTTCTTGCCCTTCTTTTCCCGCGGAGGGAGCATAACTGTGGCCATCAGCAAGAAGATGAGCAAGGCCTGGGCTAGACACAGAGCCAGAAAGCCAGGCCCCAGGATGGTGAGCCTGACCCACTTCCACACGAAGGAAAGGAAGAGGCTCAGTCCACTGGCCAGCAGCACCGAGGACGCCGCCAGGAAGCCCACTGCCAGCTGCCACTCTCCTGCGTCACTGTTGCACTGGGCAAGGAGGAGGGGCAGGGGGACAAAGATCATGAGCACCAGGGCTCCATACACACCAAGCCTGGCCAGGGCTAGGCCAACCTGAGGGACTCCCAGGGCCTCCAGCTCGGGAAAGTTGTAACACTGTAGGGAACCAGGGTCCTCCTTCCACAGACAGAAGTTGTAGAAGCCGATTCTCAGGTTAGGCAGGTCAGCGAGGTCGCCAGCCTTCCAGAGGAGAGCGTAGGACATCAGGGAGAGGGTCACAGCCACGAGGCTCATGATGCCCACAAAGGGCAGACAGTTGCTCCGCCACAGCCTGGAGATAGCCATGTCTTCTGCCCTCGCAGGGGGACCTGGAAAAGGTCACACCAGTGAGTATCCAGCCCTTCCCTTGGGCCTCTGTGTTTAGAGCTCCTGTCCTTTCTGACCTCACCCACACAGGAAGTCACAGGTCAGAGCCAAGTCCTTTCCCAGGCAGCTGTGGAAGCCTGACGTATCCTGAGCCAGACCCTCACATCAAAGGCTTTACTGCGGTGTAGATACAAGCCTTCAGAAGCCCTGTGTGTGTGTGTGTGGGGGGAGGGGGTCTGGATGTGTGTGAGGTGAAGGGCAAGCCTCACTGTTAGGTGGGGCTGCAGCTGAAGTTAGGGTTTGCAGGCTTGACTCGAGTCTCGCTTCCCATCCTGATGCTGACGACCCCATGGGGAACTGAAAAGCTATCCACGCTAGGCCACATGCCAGTCAAATCAGTGTCTGTGTTCTGGGTGTGCACGGTGTCTGCAGATCTATCTCTACGGCTTGGTTGGATGTGAGTCTGGGTGGAGAGTAACTGGCCTGTGTCTCCTGCCCAATTTGGGGAACTGACTTAGGTAAAACAGACCTTCCCCTACGATGAAATCACACCATTGCACTCCACTGATTTTAAAACCTCTGTTCAACTCCCCCCCCCCCCATAACAACAGTAATCTATTAACTCTAGGAAATTCTGGAAATAGGTTTTAAAGAAAATATTAAAACAATCCTTTATCCTGTCGCCCCAGTAAAAACCACTGTTCATATTCCACAAATAGTTTCCCTATGTGACTGTACTTTTAAGAAGCATACTGTTAAACACAATGGCTTTTCATTGACTGCTGTGGCCATTTCACAGTTGTTGAAATATTCTTCAAAATGTGATTGATAGCTACATAATATTCAATTCATGGGCTGGGCATGGTGGTGCACGGCTTTGATCCCAGCACTCGGATGCAGAGGCAGGTAGATCTCTGAGTTTGAGGGCAGCCTGGTTTACATAATGAATTCTAGGACAGCCAGGGCTATGTAGAGAGACTCTGCCTCCAAAAAGAAAACAAACAAACAAAACTCCAGAACAAACACCCCCCCCCAAAAAAAATTCAACTCATAGAGCTGTTTGTTTCACTATCTTGGTGATCTTAATACATATAGCTAGACGGACCTACAGAAAACTTGCTATTGCCATCTCTTTAGGTGTATACAAAAGTGCCTATTTTGCCAGAAGTGATTCACGCCTTTAATCCCCGCACTGGAAAGGCAGAGGCAGGCGGATCTTTTCTTTTGAGACCAGCAAGTTCCAGGACAGCCAAGTCTATAGAGACACCCTGTCTCAAACAAACAAACAAACAAACAAACAAAAATAAAAAAGAGAAGAAAAGTTGACTACTACACTCTCTTTACTCAGAAAAATCTTTTCAATACTCTTATTCAGAAGGGATTTTCAAATTGCTTCTAAAATAGAAGTCTGCACACTGTGCCCTTCTCCTTGTACATAAAACAAATATTTCCACCAGGAATGACTAGGGATGCAGAGCTTTCGACCTAGAAAGACACCATTGCTGTGGGCCTATTGCAGAGATCTAGGAGCTGCACTGGTGGCTCTGGGGAAGGACCCACAGACCCTGGGGATCAACTCCCTAGGGCACTCTGTTGGGGAACAGCTCCTCTCACACACTGCAGTGGGATCCCTGTGCACCACATTTGTTTTACAAGAACAGAACGGGATTAAGAGAACGAATACTTGCCAGCCTTAAAGAGGGCTGGAAAAGGGGGACTTATTTCCAAAGGCCCCCAGTATGTGACGCAATAGAGATCATAGGTGGATTTTTAGCAGCTCCCTGACAGTAGATATGCAACTGTTAGAACATTGGGGTCTGAATCCACACTGCCTTTCCCCAGCATCTACCTTGCTGTCCAGGTATGTCCAGTCCCTGGCTGTCACCCCTGCAGAGGAGCCCAGAAGCGAATGTCTCCAAAGCAGCCTGGGCTGCTGCTTCTCAAGCTTTTTTTTTTTTTTTTTTTTTTTTTTTTTGTCAGAGGCCCCGCATGCTGGGTTCAGGGATGCCTTGTTTGAATGTACTAGGAATTCTTGGAGCAGTGATGCTCACTGTAGGAAGATTTGTGAAGACTGTAAAAGGCAGCTTTAGTCCATATGTCACTGTGTTGGAAGGATAGAATGCTCCATGTAGCCATGGTATAGAGAAATTCCCAACATATTTTAATTTTTTTCCCATTCAGCAGATTTTTTTTTTTTTTTTTGTAAAGTCTATACATGTGCTTTTAGAGGGGTATTTCAGGGTTTGGGTTGAACTTCTGGGTGTGGGACCCCTGTTTATCCAGTGATGCTGTAGGAAATAAGGCTTGGCCTGCCTGCACTGCCCAGGGACAACCAGGGTGGGAACTGGGAGGCTCCGCTCACTCTGAATTGTGCGTGTTTAGGGTAAAATACAACCCTTGAGGCTCTGTCAGACAGCAATCGCGGCTTCTCAGAGGAGGCTATGGCTACCGCAGCACAGCTCCTGTCAGGGACCAGGCTTCGTTTTCTCTCAACAGATTTTTTGGAGATTTTGGTAGGTTATTGTCTTGTCTCTCTGTGTAGCCCAAGTTGGCCTCAAACCCTCTGATCCTCCCACCCCTGTTTCCGAAATGCTGTGACCGTGGGCATGTGCACCACACCTGACATTCCTAAGGCCTGTAACCCAGAGCAGGGCAAGAGGAAACCGGAAGGAGGAACGCAGACCCCGGCACGTGGAACGACCCTGTGCTGACTTTCCTCTGCTTTGCCCTCACAGGCAGAGGTCAGTCCTAGCTCCTCCGCCTAGCACTTGAGGCTCTCTACCATCTGGTATGTCTTAGAACTTGAATTTTATTGGGGCTCAGGTCCCTCTGCCCTCTGCACTTGCTTTTCTTGTGGCCAGGCTTCTCCGCTTAGGCTGTTTCTTGCCATCTCCAATGCCTTTGTGCAGGCCAGAAGCTGGAATTATACTAGAACACAGTGCTCCCGAGGAACAAAGAGTCTTCATCAATTTTACCCCCGAGGAGTCTGCTAGGAATTATCTCTGTTATGAATGAACAAAAATGCCCTCTAGTACCCTTAACACATGACGTCATGTGTTAGGGCCACACCTCGGGAAGACGGCAGAGCACCGTGAGGGGCCCTGTCTATGACTTATTTTCCCAGCAGGCTGGGGATGTCCATTCCGCCTCCTACTAGAAACACACACTTCAGAGGCTGGTAACTACCACAGTTCCTGTATATTTGGTTGCAAACCTGACGATACTCTCCTATAAAGATACTCTCCTAGCGCCTTGGCAGCCTGACTACCCTGTGTTGTTTCTCTAACAACCATGGCAATCACATTCCCTCCACAAAAAGGCCATCATTCCCTGTAGTAAGCCCGAGCTTCCGTCAAAGGGCGAGAGGCTCTAGAGCAGTGCTTCTCGGCTTTCCTAATGCTGTGAGCCTTTGATACGGTTCCTCATGCTGTGGTGGCCCCAAACCATACTTATTTTCATTGCTACTTCATAGCTGTAATTTTGCTACTGCGATGAATTGTAATCTGTGTTTTCCGTGGCCCCTGTAAAAGGGACATTCGCCTCTAAAGGGGCCATGACCCACAGGTTGAAAACCACTGCTCTAGAGACCGATGATTCATGGTGGCCATTTTTATATGAACTTCCTGTTTATAATAAAATAATGCATGTTGGTTCCAGGAAACTATTAAAACATGTCAAAGTGTGGAGAAAGATTAAAAGTCATCTACTTCTGGTCAAAGGGACCATCAAGCCAACCTCCTCTGATGCTCTGCAGTTAGGATCCCATGGATCCTCATGTGCATAAGCATATGTGTTTATGTCCTATGATTGTTTCCTGTTATGTTTAAGGGCTTCCTGAAGCTCTTAGATCTTACAGTTTTTTTTACATTATTCTTACAGTTTGTCTCATAATCATATGAATAATGCTATGTGAAGTGTTTTTGAGTAAACTTATCCTTCTAGCAGCTTAACTTAAAAAAATGTACACTTTGTGTATGCATGCGTGTGTGTGCCTATGAGTGTGTGAGTGTACGTGAGTGTGAGTATGTGTATGTGAATGTGTGTGTGAGTGTGTGGGGTGTGTGTGAGTGTGAGTGTATGTGAGTGTGAGTATGTGTGAGTGTGTGAATGTGTGTGTATGTTTGTGTGTGTGTAAGAGTGTGAGTGTATGTGAATGTGAGTATGTATGAGTGTGTGAATGTGTGTGTGCATGTGTGTGTGAGTGTATGTGAGTGTGAGTATGTGTGAGTGTGTGAATGTGTATGTGTGAATGTGTGTGTAAGTGTATGTGAGTATGTGTGTGAGTGTGTGTGTGTATGTGCCACACGTGTGGAGGTTAGAGGGCAGCTTACAGGAGTTGCTTTTCTCCCTCTACCATGTGGGTTCAGAGAATAGAACTTGGCTTGCCAGCTTTGCCGGTTATCTCTCTACTCAAGACCTCCAGCTTAACTTTTTCATCCCACTGTATTTTAGGGATGAAGTCACCACACTGCCCAGGCTGGCCTTGAGCTCCTGAGCAAAAATAAGCCTCCCGAGTAACTGGGGTTACAGACATGAGCTACTTGCTGGCAAATGCTTACCCTACCCCATCCTCGCAAATGTTGCGTATTCTTGAACCATCTAATCTTGGCTATTGATGAGTCACTGTTAGTCATCGTTACTCAATGCTTCCTTCAGAGACAGTGAGGTTCAGCATTTTCAAGTGTTTACTGGCCATCTGTATCTTCTCGGGCCTCTTTTGCCTTTTAAAATCAACTTTTTCAACATGTGAAAGGCCTTGGGCTTCATCCCAACACTACCCAAAAGAAACTATTCTGGCCAGGCTGTGGTGGTGCACACCTTTAATCCCAGTACTCGGGAGACAGAGGCAGGTCTCTGTGAGGATCTCTGTGAGTTCGAGGTCTGGTCTACAGAGTAAGTTCTAGGACAGCCAAGGCTACACAGAGAAACCCTGTCTCGAAAAACCAAATGAAAAACAAACAACAAAACAAAACAAAACAAAAAACAAAAATCCCAGAAAAAG